AACCATATAGCTGCTCTCAATCCTCCTCTTCAGACCCTTACCATGTTTGCAACTACTTTGCAAGAGTAATGGCTCTGCCTTCAGAACTGATAGACTGCTTAATTGACAGCATAGCACATTGCTGCATGTAATGTATTGCTTCTGGAGAGATTATACTCCATATTGAGGGTAGTTTTCTTATACCAAACTGCACATACGATTTGTTCATTTTATACAAATACTAATTTCTATAACACCATAATTCTCTGGTAATTACTTTTTACGTTATTTTATACCTTACTATGTGTTTAAATCAGTGTCATTAAATTGTACATGTAACTTTTTGAGTAATCATTTTTGAGATTTTTCCTTAGTTAATGATAATCAGTGTGTTTTGAAAATACAATCAAAGAAAAAATAATTTTAACTGTACTTGCAGGCATTTACTCTAATCAAAATATGAAGTTTATATTTAGACTGGCTTTCTCTTTATTGGTGGTATTATTTATTGAAATGTTATATTGTGTTAATAGTTTAATAGTTAATTGCATTAATAGTAACCGAAGAGTTTTTCTGATCAGAGAATTCTTGAAACTTCTTTGGAAAAGCACTATACTTTGAAGTTTCCATATACTAGCATGGGAGTATCAGAGCTAATGTGTTAATGATGAGATATTTTAAGAACTTAGATGTGTTTCAGTTTTTATTATAATTTTTGATTTTATTGCTGCTGTAATTGTCTATATCTTGAAACTATCTGATATATTGTGCTTTTATAGGCCACAGCAGAAGCAATATGCAGACGTATTGGTGTTTTTGAAGAAGATGAGGATACTTCTGGTGAATATTTTTTTAAATACCAGCTATTCTATATATAATTTAAAAGTGAATTAATTTGAAGATAATTAAATAATAGAAAATATTTGATATTCCATTTTTTTTATCTTTCTCTCTCATGCTGCTTAAGAGGAATATTTGCAGAAAACAGGTAAAAAGTGAGATTTTCGAATCCTTAACAATACAAGTTCACTAAAAAAAAAAAAAAACTTTACTATTCTGAGGTGTGTAACCTAAACACAAAATGTTTACGTAGAAATTCCACATTTTAACCTTGCCATATATTTTGCCATAATTAAATACTCCTGTTCTTCCACGCTGAATACTATCTGGTGGAATTGTCCTATACATCTATATGTTTTATATCCTTAATGTCTTACTTGTTTTTCCCTTAAATTAACTTTTTATCTGTCAGTTAACATGTTTTTCAGATGAATATCTATTATAACATAACTAATTAATTTTTTTCTCATATTTTGAAATTTATTTCTTAATCAATATAGGCTTATCTTTTTCTGGAAGAGAATTTGATGAATTAGCACCATCTGAACAAAGGTTAGCATGCTCAAGGGCTAGACTGTTTTCACGTGTTGAACCTGCACATAAGAGTAAAATTATTGAATATCTCCAAGCAGATGGTGAAATTTCGGCAATGGTAAGAGAAGCAGTTTGCAGTTCGAAAAAAAATGGCACTATTTGATGTTGCAAAAGACATGTAATGCTTTCTTTGTATTAAATTAATTGTTTTTGTCATAATCCAGATCATTTTTTTTTTATTGAAGGATAATATTACAAGGCTCGTACGGTCCTTAAAAGTCCTTAGATTTTTTGGGATCGATTTTTGGTCCTTAAAAGTCCTTAATTTTGGCCAAAATCAGCAGAAGGTCCTTAAATTTAATCATCTAAAATTTTCTGTCTCTTTTACAATTGCCATTTTGAGTGTGAATTAGCATTTTGGAGGAATATTTTCGGCGATTCACTGGCATATATGGTTATCTTTTGTATGGGTTTATGTGTTATAATTTGTTTCTGTTCCTAATATAAATTGATGGGATACTCGAGTTTCTAAGCAAGAAGTGAGATATAAGCACTTCGAAATTCATTTTTTCTAATAAAGAGTTCTTAAACAACTTTTCGCTTTTGGAGATGTGAATTCTTTTATTAAACGGTTGTAAATTTGGTGACTTATCAACGTTTTGGCGATTTTAAGATCAGTTTCTATAGAAAATTTTCAATTCCGAGATCTGCGAATTTTTGGACGATTTTTTTTTTTAAACATCCTAACATTGATAAATTTCATTCAAATAATGGTAATATATTGAAATTATGTTTAAAAAATACTTAAAACAAACATTTTAAAATTTCGCTGTCATTTAAAATTTCATTTTGGCAATTTATTATACAGTCAAAAGTCGTTAATCCGACTCGTCGGGACTTCGCAATCCGGATTACGATTTTTCCGGATTATAGACATCAGTTTAAATCTCGTAGATGGCATGCAGAAATTCTAAAATTAAAAATATGAAACTGTAATTATGAAATAAAGAACAATTATGATCTAAAGGGTATCAAAATTACAAAAAAAAAAAAAAAGCTATATTTATTTGTTTACTTTATTAAACCTTTCTTTTAATGTAAGTTGTTTAAGTTGCTTCAATTTATGTGATAATACTTTCTCTTAATTCTATAAACAGACATAATTTCTTGTTCAGTTACAAAGTCCCGCTGTTCAAGTCCCGTTAATTGCTGTGCCGAGAATACCGACTAACTTGTCAATAGAAATTTTTTGTTTTCACTAACCTCTCTGTCACATTCTTCATGTTTTAATATCCATTTTTTGCAGCATTCCACTTTTGTTTGTTGGACATCGAAACATACTTTCGTTTTGTAGATTCTTTGGAGTTCCAGCATCGGAAATTCTATTTGACATAATCGAAAGTTCAAGTTTACTTTTATAAAATTGCTCTTACAGTCTGCAAAAAATAATAAGTGGGATCCAATTCGAAGATTAAGTAACAACAACGCAATCATTAACATTAACTGAAATAGATAATTAGATAATTTTAGCTTACACCGTCCGTGATACATTAAACGCGCAGGCGAAAACGTATTCTGCACTTGCGCACACGCATATGCGCAGTAGTCAAGATCTTGCGCACACGCGTAAAACGCCTGTGCGCATGTGCCAACGCAGCACATGCGCAGAAAGTTTTTAGCTTTGAGATCCGGATTATAGATCATTCCGGATTATGGGTGTCCGAATTAACTACTTTTGACTGTACAATATTTTGACTCTGAAAAATAATGAAGGTATAATGCTATAAAGCACAGTTTACGAAATGGCTCTTAGCAAAAGCAAAATTAGCTATGTAATTAGTTAAAAATATCTTTTTAATTTTTTCATAGTAAAAGTTTTTCCTACGTAATTGTCTCGGAATATTCAAATCTCAGAATATGTATCAGTTTTCTCTATAAAATAAATTTTACACTTTTTCCCTCCTTTTTTTTTCCAAAATATTTCTGCCTTTTTGCTGTTACTGAATTGGTAGGGATAATTTTTCTTTAGTATTTTGGGAAGTTTAGAAGGATTTAAAGGCAAAATTTATAAACCCATGGTTCTAGAAGATTCGAGAAATATGTGACAAAATTAAAAATGTCTCCATGATATCAACACGTAACGAATGTATTTTGCAAAAAGTTTACAATGTATTTCTCACTTTTTGGAGAACGTCTGGAAGAACAATGAAAACATAATATTTGAATGTTTAACTCCTGATATTAGAATCATTTTCTTAACATGTTTATCTTTCTTTTATTTTCTCTACTTTTCACTAGACACAAGCATAGAAAGTATCAAAAATGCTTCTAATCTTGTCACATGGGCAGGCATTATAGAAAGGGATTTTTTTATTAATAAAGAAATTGAAAACTTACAATTTAAAAGATTCATCTAATATGTTTTAATGCATCATACACAGAGCTGGCACTAGGCATTTTCCCACCTGATGCAATCTCTGTGGAGCCTAAATTCTGCTTCTAATGCCTGCTCTAAATTCTAAAAGTTTTGACATTTCTAGATTTTATTGTTCGGTGTGTCACTAAATTCTAAAAATTCTGCTACAGTGGCTCTGTAACCGGCCTTTACCATATATATTTCTTCTGAATGTTTATATTACTAAAGAAATTAGCCATTTTCTGTGCATTCTAAATGCATTTCATGTTTTTTAGAATAACGAAAATCTTTAATTAAATCCAAAAATTCTAAAATGAAAAGGAAATGTGTTGAAGAAAGAAAATGTGCAGTTATTATTATGTAAATTACCCAATTGTTTATGATTTCAGCCTTTACTATAATTTCCCATTTCTATTTCCTCATATGAAAGAGTTACTGAGCCAGATTAAATTAAAATTAAATTGTATAATCTTTGACACGTTTAGTTTGAATTTGACTGTTCTTTGTTTAGTTACGTCACCGTGAGCTGTAAATAAAATTTGTTAGCATAAGAACATGCCTTTGTATTTTAAGTTCTTTTTATATAAGACGCTTATTTAAACCTTTGTCTGATATTTGTTATTTTCAGACATAGCGATAGTTTGCTTCACATTAGTTGTGTTTTCGACTATTTAACTTTTACCAGATCAAGTAAACCCTCATATGTACATTGTAGAGAGGTTGACAAGTTAGGAGATAAAGCAGTTAGGTTGAAGGAGATAAAGCAGTTAGGTTGATGCAGAAACTAGCGAGAGCATTGGTTAGCATTTTGAGACAAATCTTCTAACTGTTAGAAAAGATGCTTAAAGAGAAGGAAATCGATATAAACTAGCCAAAATGTTTGAGAAGGCTTCAAATTAAAATGACGGATAAATATTTTGTTGAGTGTTATTGCTACAAAACATAAATATTTTGTAGCTTTTAATGTGTAATTATCCTAATATCGTTTAAGAATCAATGTTATAAATTACATGTATTTTAAACTGTTAAATTTGTTTAGATTTTGATTTTAATAGGGCTTTTTTAACAAATATTGTTAAGAAATAAAATTTAATTGTGGCCATGTAAATGCATAATGACTAAGGTTATCTAATTACTTAATTTAATTATTTATAACTAACTGCTTACCCTTAAAAATTATCTCTACGTATTAAAGCAAGTTATTGCCTTTCATTAATACTCACTGTGGTCACAAGATAAAACATAAAAATTCAAGTAAAACTTATTCCTTTGCATCTAGTGTGATTTAATATAAAACTGCTTATCACCTCTGGTTCTTTAATGGTTTATTGGAACCTTAAAGTATATTAACTGGGTTACAACCCCTAAAACTGTACTTGAAGCTACGACACTAACTGCATCAAACAGAGCCCGACTAACTTTCAACACTTGCCAAACTACATCAGGACATCTGCCTACCTCAGGCCTTTAAGGTTTGTTCTAATGAGCAGGTCTCTCTCTAGACAAGCAGCAAGCAGTAACAGCATTCAGTCTTTTGTTCTGAATCATGCTGATTATGATCTTACTTCTCGTTTTAACCTATGACGTTTGACATAAAATCTACCTGCTATTTACTCAACCTCTAGACTGACCAAGTACGTGACAAACTGAGACATTTAAAAAAATCAACATAAAGCTAACTGTGAGTAAAACGTAAATGTCACTTATCTTCTTTCAAATATGTCCATCTGTTGTAAGTGTAAATATTTAATGCTACTTGATAAATTTCATAAAGTTTATTTTATTCTCAAACTTATTAATAATTATGTTAATTAATTCATGTTTAGTAATAATGCAGACTACTTAGAGATCTATTATATTTTTAGGATGGTATCACAAAAGTGAAATTCAGGCATAGATAATATTTTTAATTGAACTTATTCAGTTCCCATTTGCTCATAGGTCCTTAATTTTTTCATTAATGGTCCTTAAAAGTCCTTAAAAGTGCTTAATTTTCGTGTGCAGAAATGTGTACGAACCCTGTATTAGAAATACCTGTATATTTAAATTGAGAATTTTCAGGGTATTGGCAATTTTGATCACTTAACGTCTTTTATGCAAGTTATATATCCTCTATTCGGTTATTTAACTGATCTTTATCTTCTGGGGGATATGGCTGTTAAAAGAATCATTTGTATTATGTAGCCTAAACCATTTTCATATGACAAAGAGAAGCCAATTTAAATCGTAATTTAATACTTAACTGAATACTTAAGATTAATTTTCATTAAAATTAATAAAAATTAATTTTAAGTATTCACTTTGGTAGTTTAGTAATGGGGATTATAAAAAGAGAGAGGTATATATGTATATGATTTACTGTAAAGTTCTATATACATTTTTAGAATAAAACAAAATACAAGTTTTTCTTACAGTCAAAAGTCTTCAATCCGAACTCGTCGGGACGATTCCGGATTATCGGTTTTTCCGGATTATAGATCATCAGTTTAAATCAGAAATTTTATTAGATTGTGATTTTAATAGGGCTTTTAACAAATATTTTTAAAAAATAAGTAAAATTTAATACAGTCAAAAGTCTTTAATTTGGACTCGTCGGATATCGGCGATTACGGGTTATAGATCATCAGTTTAAATCTGGTAAGATGGCATGCAGAAATTATAAAATTAAAAATATGAAACTGTAATTTATGAAATAAAGAGCAATTATGATCTAAAGGGTACCAAAATTTACAAAAAAAAAAACTTAATATTTATTTGTTTACTTTATTAAACATTTCTTTCAATGTGCGCATGCGTAAAGCATACATTATAGATAGTCAAAATTAGAAAATTGCAACCAGAAAACTATTTGATGTGTATTCGTGATATTTATAATGACGAGGAATTTGATTTAAATCATATCAAAGGCGGAGTACATAGAGATGAAATACTACATTTAGTAAGGAATTATAAGCCAAATAAAATAAAAACATTTACCCTGAAGATAACGATAGTGCTCACATATCAACTTCCAGTTCATTGCGTGCCTCGATGTCCCCTACCTACCCCCTGCGGCAGAGCAGCGTGAAATTGATAAACAGATTTCGGAATTCTTAGAGAAACACAAAAGGACCTTTATCAATTTTTTGCAGCAATTCCACTTTTTGTTTGATCGACATCGAAACATGCTTTCATTTTGTAGATCCTTTGGCAGCTCCAGAATCAGAAATTCTTTTTGACATAATCGAAAGTTCAAGCTTACTTTTATAAAATTGCTCTAACAGTCTGCAAAAAATAATAAGCTGGATCCAATTAGAAGATTAAGAAACATTGCATTCTGCAACATTAACTGAAATAGATAATTAGATAATTTTAGCTTATACCATCCGTTATACATTAAATGCGCATGCGTAAACGTATTATGCGCAACCATAAACTCGCATGCGTAAAGGTATGCGCTGTTGGCTCTAGTTTTCTAAATGCAAATTTTGATCGGAGGTCGATCGGCGGTAAGCTAACATGGTTGCCGCCGATTGGCCGATGACGTCAAGATGGGCGGGTTGGCCGAGTATAATATATATGTACGCCGGTATCGGCGAAGGTTCTTCTTGTTCTTGTTCTCTTGTGTCATTATGAGTTAGCATTATGCTAGTTTGCTTTCAATCAAATGATTTTAAATGTAAAGGCTACAGTGTTAGCTCTTTTATTTTATTTACGGAATAAAGCATGAATTTTATGTAGTTTAGTTTAGTCTTAGCTTTATTTAAGGAAAGCAAAATATGCTTTGCCTTTATCACCACTGCCAACATGCGCTGACGCATGCGCAGAAAGTTTATAGCTTTGAGGTCTGGATTAAAGACTTTTGACTGTAATTACCATTATTATTAATGACTTCTTGCCAGCATGAGGGCAATTTGTATATCCTATTTTTGAAAAATGTTGTATCTTTTGATGTAAAAATTGAACCAGTGCTTGTTTGATATCTTCTTCATTTTTGAATTTTAGCCCTTAAACAAATTTTGTAAGGACAGAAGCAAGTGATAGTCTGAGGGTGTTAAGTCCGAGAAAATGGTGGATGCAACAGAATTTCGCAGACTACATCTGCAATTTTTTGACGACTCTCCAAAGCAACATGTGACCTGATATTATCATGATGAAGTATGATGTCCTTCCTATTGAACATCGCTGGTCTCTTTTCTTGGACTGATGTCTTTAAATTATCTAGTTGCTGACAATACTTCTCCGAATTGAGCTTTTTGTTTGGTTTTAAAATCTCATAATGTATTGGTCCTCGAATGTCCTACTATATACACAACATTCTTTTATTTAGAGTCACTTTTAGTTTAGAGGTAGGTGGAAGGGCTCGGTTTGGTTCATGATATGCCCTTTTCCTTACAATGTTTTCATAGGTACTCCACTTTTCATTCCCAGTTATCATCCAGTTCAAGAAGAAGTCAATTTTGTTCCAAGCAAACAGAGATGTGTATATGACAATTTAGTCATTCAAATTCTTCTGACTTAATTCACGAGGCACCCATCTTAAATATTTCCACACCAATCCTATCTTCGGAATATTGTCCAAAATGGTTTGCTGAGCTGATCTCTGATGTTGTCAAAAAAGGGTCTTTCTCCAACATGGTCTTAACAACATCATCAAAGATGGTTCAGAAAGGTCGGTCGCACTTAGAAGCGGTGTAACACCAGAGTGCCTTGGTCAAGGACCTACCCCTTGTCAAACATGTAGGTTGTTTCGAATGCTGTCATGAGTAACTAACATAAGATATAATCTTTTTTTTTTCATAAATTATGATCATATTTTTGAGTAATGGGATAATAAGATATTCTAGCAGAAATAAAGTGTGTGCCGAGTTCCAATAAAGACCTGGAAATGCCATCTGGGAGAGCTGAGAAAGGGGAAAAGAGCTGGCTTTAACTTGAGACCAGAGATACATAATAATGCATACATACAATATAGATAGTGTGAGAAAACTGGCGCACTTAAATTATAGCATGAGTCATAAAGTACAGTAAAGTAAGTCAAATTAAACAATATGAGTACTAAGTATGGCCGTAGGCCGTTTACAATTATTTGGATCAATTACATCATAATGATCCAAATAATTGTAACAGCCTACGGCCATACTTAGTACTCATATTGTTTAATTTAATGACAATTATGATGTAAATGACTGACACAATTGGGACACAATTTTGTGCCTGCTGTAACTTTTTCGTATGTGATTTGCATGAATATGGCCAAACCGGGCAGGCATAACATAGTATGGGACGAGATACAGTTTTATAAATAAGCAACCTTGTTGTGTATTGAAAGTACACTGTTTTGAGAAATTAAGGGGTGAAGTGTAGCTGTACTAACTTGAAACTTTTTAAGGATAGATATTATGTGTGGGTACCATGAGAGAGTTTTACTGAGAATCACCCCAAGATAAAGGACATGCTTGGTCCATGGGATATCTTCTCCTTAAAGTTGCAGGATTTATTTAATTTGTTATTGTTAAAAATGATTGCTCAAGCCTTATCTACATTAACTTTGATCTTCCATTTTGTCAGCCAAGTCTCGAGTATGTTTATGTAATCTTGTAATCATTGTATTGCTGAGCTAATGATTGCACTTTGTGAGAGGATCACAGTGTCATCTGCATACATTGCAAGCATTGTGTTCAGTGTGGTGGGATTGTCATTCACGTAAATATTGAATAATGTGGGATCCAAGCAGACTCCCCTTGGGAACCCTAGCAAGGATTGCCCTATGTGTTGATAGTGTATTTGAGACGCGAACGACAAAGTGTCTATCGTTTCTGTCCCATCAGAAACTGTACCTTCAATCAAACACTTTCAGTAAATTTCTACATGCTTCTGTAGCCTTTCTTCCTTGTTGAAATTGTTATAAAATATAGTGGCATAAATATAGAGCCGAAGCCAAACATGTACCAAATAAACATGTTTACTTGTCGAAAACTGTTGTCATAGAAACGGACAGAACTCTCCAGTAAACCAAATATGTTATGTGTATTATGTATTTAACACTTATGTGTATTACTCAAAATACAGTCCGGCTGTTTTTGTAGAAGCAGTAACATGGTGTGATAACTAAAAGAAGAATTTCTAGAAGTTTGTGTTCAGTACAGCTGCATTTGGGAATGACTTTTTTAAGTTAATTTCAGGTTATAGTCATGGAACCTATGTAGAGATGGGAAAAAGGTTGATACATACTTGTCTTAACCCTCCAAGCCTTAAGAGTTTAGCCCTAAAATTTCAGAGTTCCTCATAATGTCATGAATAAATGGTATTTTATCGATTATAATTAAAAAATAACTCTCTGACTTTGTATCCTGATTTCTTTTCTTCCAATATATATCAAACCTGAAATCAGATATGTTAAAAGCTTCAGAAATTTTCATGTATAAGTGAATATGAAAGCCGCTACGGAATTTGACATCTATAATGCTGAGTGGATTAAGCCAAGAAGTTACTCCATGAATATTGAATCAGTGTAAAGGTGCACTACTGTACATCACACTTGAAATGTTAATCTTCATTTGTATTAAATGTTTCATAACAAATTTTGTTTGGCCGGGTGATAATAGCATTTCAAATTGTAATGCAAAATACATTGTATTGACTAGATGTCTTGTATATTTGCTGCCACTTTTAATAGTCATGCCTCACCAATGGCCAAGTGGTTAGACTGCTGAATCCTGAGAGTTTAACCTAGGTTTGATTACTGAGAAACTGGCTGGCTGTCTGTATCATTGATTTTCGAGGTCTTTCCATGCGGGACTTGAATATAGCCCAGTTTCCTTTAAGAAAGCTTTCCATAAAGGCATTCATCCCCCTAAGCAAATAGCCCTAATGTGCTTTGACATATTAAAAAAAGCCTATTTAAGTATAACAATCATTTCTTTGATGTTATTTTTTGTAAGGAATTTACTTTTTGCAGCAAATGACTTTTCAGTACCTGAGTTTTTAAATTTTAAATAAATCTAGACTCATAATGGAACAAGTGATTGTCGACTAGAATTTTTATATTTAAATCTCATACAGAGTGTTTTGTTATTAATGCTGTATATTAGCAATCATGTAAGTAATTAAATAGCTGCTGCTTTGAAACTGTGTTTTAATCAGCCATTGATTTTTTTCCTACTGACAGACAGGAGATGGTGTGAATGATGCACCAGCTTTGAAAAAAGCAGAAATTGGTATTGCTATGGGTTCTGGAACAGCAGTGGCTAAATCTGCTTCTGAAATGGTCTTGGCAGATGATAATTTTTCTACGATTGTTGCAGCAGTAGAAGAAGGTCGTGCTATCTATAACAATATGAAACAATTCATACGTTATCTCATATCATCAAATATAGGAGAAGTTGTCAGGTATATATGTTTTTGTTAATTTTATAAATTGACTTCTCTAGCATTCTGCATTAAATGATTTAAAATAATATATGTTTAAGTGCAGTTTTAATAAATTTGTTACAGAGTTTACTTTATTGACAGTATTTACTTATCTTTTATTGCCTTTTCCCATATGCATGCACTTTCCTCTGTGTTCTAAACAAAAGGCTGTTCAAGACAGGTGTGAAACAATTTTAGGAGGACACATTTAGCATATCTTAAAATATCCTTTTATGTATATGACCATTGAACCAAAGAACATGAAGGGGCTCTCTGATTCCATTCAGCTTCTTTGACTGAGCTGTTAGTCAGCTTTTTATTAAAAGATAATGCTATGATGGAAATTTTGAAATTTTCACCGATCATTGAAATGGAAAGTAGCAAATCAGATGAGCTTGAGACAATACAGTTTATTCATCTTTTAAGAAATGATATTTTGTTTGAATATAAATACTGTCCATGTTATATCTTTCGAATAAGAGTTTTGCATTCTTTAGGTCTTCTGTAAGACATAGGATATGCTTTTTATAGTTCATTGAGTCTTTGCAGCATGGATAAAATTATTTTGCATCATACAAGCAGAAAATTACAGATTATTTTAGTCCTCAGAACTTCCTTTTATATATATGACCTTTTATGTATATTATTTTTTGTATTGTTATAAGTAAAATAATTCTTCGTAGTTATAAATTGGTAATTCAGGGAATGCCATAGAGCAGTATTTATGCTATGTGTATAATTATTAACATAAAATGAAACTGGAAAAGAAAATCAAAAAATTGAAGGACTGCGTATAATAATAATAGTACAAGATCTCTTGTTGAGATAGGCTGATGATAGGCTGTAGTGCAACTAACTGAAGAAGATGTAATAATAATGGTAAATAAATCTTAATATGATTTTTAAATTAGACTTATTGTTCACCTCTTTTAGTAGAAGTTACATTAATCATTATTTACTTATTATTTGACTTTTATGAGATAATAAATTTTTCCTATGTCCAATATAGTAAACCAAACTTCCAGTCCCTTCAAGTTCTTGTAAAAGGGTTCAATTGTATAGTAACCAAATATTTTTATTGTATATCAAATAAGATAAGTCCTTATTTTACATTATAGTTGCAGAGTAGCTTTAACCCCTTAATATAACAATAAAATTTCACTAAGTGCTTTTTTTTTTTTTTCTTTCCAGTTGTTTATTTTAATTCAGACTCTTTTAACTTCAGTTTTTAACTAAAAACTATAGTGAACATATTGTTGTTATATGTTAAAAAAAATAATTCTTGAACGTATTTAGTCGAGAGCATGATAATAATTTAGTTTGGTGTACCTGAGTTAAGTTGATTGAGTGCATTAAGAAGTTAAAGTAGTTTAAGGCAAAATTGTATAAATTAGCTCTGATATGTAATATAAAGCTCATTTTAGGATTTTTGCATTATCATCAACATTCTAAATAATATTAAATCATTTTAAACAGTTTATAAATATTTTTTTCTCTTACCTCTTTCTTTTATTTAATTGTTTACACTTAATCATATATAAAAATTCAGAAGATTGTAATTTTCTTTTTCAGTATTTTCTTAACTGCTGCCCTTGGCCTTCCAGAGGCTTTAATTCCAGTACAGCTGCTATGGGTTAATCTTGTGACTGATGGCTTGCCAGCCACAGCTTTAGGTTTCAATCCTCCAGATTTAGATATAATGGAAAGGCCACCTCGTAAAGCTGATGAATCATTGATTTCTGGATGGTTATTTTTTAGATATATGGCAATAGGAGGTATGTCTTAACTATTTATATTGATTTTTGAGATTCATAATTTAATGTCCTAAAGGAAGGATAAATATGTTTTGTTTTAACATAATTAGCTAGCAGACTTTCCTAATGAAGATTTATTCTGAAAAAATTTTTTATATTTTTGTGTTTAGGAAAAACAAGCCAAGGCACAAAATAAATATTCAATCTGTGTTTAATTTTATAATTTAGAATGTTTATTAGTTTATTTTCTGAATACGATCCTATGCATTACAGAATCCTAAATACTGTAACGTATAGATTATAGAATAGTCATTCATTTCTGAATTGTTCATAGAAAGACAAATATTTCCATAGATGGTCTTGTGATAAGGATTGTCATAATGCACAATTCTCAAAAAAATAATGACACTGTTTGTTAAGATTTATGATAACTGTATGCAATAGAAACATTGTAAATACTTCCAAATGCATACATAACTTTTTTAAATCTTTTCTGGCTATTGTATTGTGTGCTTGTCATAAGTATCTACCGTCTTCTGTCTGTCATGTAGATTCTTCAAATAATGTTAGCCAACTTTTGCAATGCCATCTAAATATAAATGTTTTTCACTAATGCCTAATTTTGTATGTGTTGTATTCAGTTACTATGATGTGTAAAGAAATTATATATGTGATACAAAGAGCCTTCATATCCATTAGTCCTTCAAATAATTAGATCTTGGTTTACTGCTGCTCCATTTCACTTTATTATTTTGAAATGTTAAATTATATATTACATATTATTATAATATTTGAAATATTAAATTTATTTCGATTTAAATACTTTTAATACTGCTTGTGTCTTGTAAGTTTCTGCATTTATCTTTCTAAGATTTAACATTTTATTTAATTTTGAAATCACTGTAGCCTCTTCTCTATCTACTGTGTACTAGAACTTTTGTAGTATCGTGAACTCTGTGGTATATCTGCAGAGTAACTGCCCATCCTCCTTGAGATCAATGCTTCTAACAAGCTAAAGCACCAACCTGGATCATTATCAGACCAGAACTGTATGGAAGAGACATCAGAGTTTAAAACCTTTTTCACTTCCATAGTTTACCATTGTTGGAACAAAAGCCCCAAGTTTCTGAAAGGCCAAAATTATTGCTTGTACTACTACAGTTTTTATCTGTAAAAGCTTCTAAAATTTTTTTGAAGAACAAATTTATTAAAGACTTGGTTTCCATTCCATTTTTTGTTGGAGGTGTGGGAAAACAGATTCCAAACAATCTATCTCTCTCTTTCAGCCAAGCACTAAAGTGTCAACATCAAACTTTCCATTACCATGTCTGCCAGCATAATAACAACACATTGATTGATAAGTTCCAATAGAACTGCAGTCAGCAATAAGATTTCTACCTTTTATTTATTTTTTTCCCTAATTAACTAATAAGAGCATAGGAAATAAATATTCTTAAGATATTTATTCAAGCATGTGGAATAAATATATTGTTTCTTTCTCAGGATATGTTGGGGCTGCCACAGTAGGTGCTGCATGCTGGTGGTTTATGGCTGCACCAAATGGTCCTCATCTCAGTTACTATCAACTAACTCATCACTTAGCTTGCCATCAGGATTCAGATCAATTTGTGGGTGTGGATTGCACAATATTTTCAGATCCTCATTCCATGACAATGGCTTTATCAGTGCTGGTTACCATAGAGATGCTGAATGCCCTAAACAGGTAAGTTGAATGATAAATATTTCATGAATTAATTTTTAGAATTTAAATCTCAAAAACTGTGTGAAAAAGTATCCTGGTTTCTGCTTACATATTCAAATTTTGGCATATTTATGTTGACTTAATATCTGAAAATATGCAAGGGATGTAGGTGCAATATCATGCAAATTCATTGAAATATTGGTGAAAGTGGAAAAATCAACAGGAAAGGAGTATGTTATGATCATTTCATGCTAGTTTTCGTATACAACCAAACTTGAATTATTCATTTTTATTACCTGTTAAATAAATGACTATTGATATTGATTCAGTTGGCAATAAGTAGGAACTACTCTCGTATACACCCTCAGTTGGCGGCAATGGCGAGAAACTTCACGCTGCCACATTACTGCCTAAAGTTTTTGTTTACATTTCGAACTTTAAGCCTAAAATGTCTGCAAAAATACGATTTTCATACGTGCAAAAACCATGTTTTGAACACGCAATTTAAGCTAAAAATACGAAACAAAAAAATTTAGATAGCAAAATTGTAAAGTTTCTAACCAAAATATTTGACAAGAATCCGTGTACACAGCAATATGTTTTAACTTAAAAAATTTCACAGAATTGCGCAATCTATGCAGCAAAGGATTCTATGAATCACACACACCTAGCTTAAATAAATTAATAACAATAAATTTCAAAGAATACTATGTACACAGTGTTCTGTTTAAACTTGAAAAAAATCTACAAATTGCACAATCTAGGCAGCGAAGGAATCTACGAACTAGGCACACCTCCCTTTAATAAATTAACATAACAACAATAAATTTCAAGAATACCATGTGCACAGTGTTCTGTTTAAACTTTAAAAAACATATACGAACTGCACAATCTAGGCATTATGCACTAATCAACAAAATAAACTAAAATTTCAAACAATTCAAATAACAACAATGATGACAGTTCATACAAAAAAACAGTGAACATAACATTCTACAAAATAAGAATAAAATAAAATGCACTTGCCATGAATGAATGCTTCTTCGAACAGCAGAAATACCAATTTCAAACATCACCAAAACAATTCCGCCACAAATTTGTTAAAAGCATTTTCTCCTGTTTTAAAACAACTATGAAAAAATATGTAAACCACCAAATAAAACGCAAAATCGCATTTCCGATTATAAGTAGACAACGTAGCTCTAACATGCTGTCATGTAATCTCTATCATATTTATATGACAGCCAGACTCACTATCCACAAAATTGATACTATATTTCACAAGTAAATCTTCAAAACCTTCTCCTCCGAAATACTTAAAGAATTTCCAGCCACCCGAAAAAATAGTTGTACCAGGCACGCGACTTAAATTTTACCAACACGTCTTTCATTGCATCAAGTTTCCACATAAAAAGGATTGCCATAGAAACCAATATCACCCCCAAAACCATCGCAGAACACGCAATCATGCCAAAAACCAGTACACAACACATATTGCCACATTTGGCGACCTGAGAACAGTGGCGTAAATAAGGGTATGCAAGGAATGCCGTCGCATAGGGGCCCGGAGCCCTTAAATGGCCCTTAATGGGGGGCCCTTAAATGTCCTGCTGAACTACATTTACATGTTTAAACTTAAAAGACGGATTCCATTACATATATATATATAGAAGAGTACTTTTCTGTTTCGCCTGCGCAAATCTCGCCAAGCAGACTTTATAAGGCATAAACATTTTAATATCGCTTAAAACTTTATAAAAAGCCAATAAATAAAGACAATAAATTTGTAAAAAGACATTAAGAATTTACTATGCTTTCATGGTTCAACATCCTAATTCGCCGGTTCATATCACGTGACCCCAAGCGATCTCATCTCACGTAAACTACTCTACAAAAATCTAATGTCTCAGTAATTATCTACATTAATTTCTAGTTAAATCTTAATTTGGAACACAAGTTTAAATGCAAGAAATATTTCAATGCCTATGAATAGCTTAATCAGAAATTATGTAAAACTGCAGTGCTTTACTTCACTAATGCATTCTCATTAGAATTGATGAATTTAACCTTTGACTTTCCTTTTCTATATTTTCGGCTTCGGGTAAGAGATCCTAATTGACTTAATTACCGAAAATGGCCTTAGACATAAAACTGAACTATCTGATAAAAATTCTATGTAATTATGTGCCAGTATTGAAAGAAACAATCAATCTGATAAGAAAAAGCTGCGACTTGTTTTGAAAATGAGGCGTAAAAGGTTACCAGCGAGAATATTCCGTTTGGCATCGGTTGTACCATTATTGGCGACATTATCGCTTGCGCCGGCAAAACGGAAAAGTACCATAGAAGCTTTAATTCGTTTTCCCTTGATTAGTTCAGAATTAGAATTTCAATTAAAGAAGATTAATTATTATTATTATTATTATTATTTTTTTTTTTTTTTTTTTAGAATTTGTACTACTATAAATTCTTATTTTAATTTTGATATGTTTTGATTTTGTGTTAAACCCCGTTTGCATGATTGTTAATATCAATATAGTTGAGGAATAGCCTTCATTTGACTCCAATTTACTTTTAGCTGTAGAATCCTTAAGTATAGAATTCGTTTTCTTTTAAGTTTTTAAGGGTCCCCTACCTATTTGATGCAATGACGCAATTCTCTGTATGATGCAGATAGGCCCTTGGAAGCACCTGAAACAGCTAAATTCAAGTGTTTGCAAAAGTTAAAATTCCAGCATTCGACTGTGAAATAATAATTTCATGACCTACCCCAGTTTAGGGATAGCAATGAGCGGAAAATAGGAAAAATTTCTTTGTATTCTTTAGTCTCAAACCTGAAAATTATTAAAGGAAAGGTTTCTCCTTTTGCAAACCCAAATCAAAAAGCGGTGGAAGTGGAAATTAATTGTAACTATTTATTATAAAGTACTTATTTTATGTATTAATTTGTTTCTGTATAATTCGCATTATAATCGAATAATCAGTAGACATATTTTCTTCCTTTTCTTAATGCATCCTATGTCGACAAGTTTTTTTTTTTTATATATAGACTTATTCATTTTATATAGACTTTTTCATTTATTATCAGTATGCATATCAATGAAAGGAGAGAAAAATGTCTCTCGCACTCACACAAAATGTCTTAATTAACTGAATTAAAATCATCTGACGTCAAATACCCAGACTAAAGCAAATTTTCATTTCACCAGTTGGTCAAGAGAAATTATTTTCCTTTTTATTCTTTCTTCACGTTACGTATCTTTCAACTGGTTCCCTAAGAACGTGCTTTTATTTTTTAACAATTAATCCAGATGTGATAAAAATCATCATGAAAACATTGGCTCCTGTAATTGTTGATTTTTTTTTTTAAATTTTCGGGTTTTTTATTTATTTATTTTTAAGCACATTAAATTTATAGGGAAAGGGGCCCAGGAAAATTTTTTTGCATAGGGGCCCAAGAGTTCTAGTTACGCCACTGCCTGAGAACGCATATAAGAATAGTTTCAATAAATGGAATAACATTTTGTGCATCTTGCATGAGCAGCTCTGTTAATAATGTTAGATAATTTATCATTTATACTTTAAATTTTTGCATTTAAAGAAAATGTGCTATGATCCAGAAGTAATGAAAAAAGATAAAATTCAGTAATTTGAAAAAATATGGAAAGTAGCACAATGTGCTTCGCAGAAATGCACTGTCGGAATTCAGAAGCAGCAGAGAGTCCACCAGCGGCCAAGTGGTTAAGTCACTGAACATTAGTAGTTTGGTCTGGATTTTGAAACTCCTTGAACGGGCTGGCTGCCTGGGCGTTTTCGAAGTTTACCCCCATGTGTATTATGTTTACTAGACTGTTTCCTTTAGAAAGTCCTCTGTGAAGGCGTCCCTCCCCGTAGGTATATAGTCCTCGAGTGCTTTGCCATAATCAAAATTAATTGAACCAAAACCATTGGCAGCAGGATATCTTTTATTATTATTAATGAAAAATTAGTCAGTGTCAGAATGATCACATTTTTACTTAAGTCACTGATGTACTAAGGATGATGTTATTACAAGGTAACCAAAAAAAAAAAAAAAATCTTGCCATTTTGAGACAGTCAGAAAGAAACTCTTAAAACAAATAATAATCACTGCTAATCCTCAATGTAATCATGCATTGCCTTTTGCCAATGAGTGGCTAGCTGTGCAATACCATCGCTGGGCTCCCGAGCCACATGTGACCTCGCATTGTCAAAAAAGGAAAGGAGGAGCATGCCCTTACAATGGACCAATGCTGGCTCTTCATGCATCAGTGAATGATGCACACATTGTGAGTACAGGCCTGCCATGATGGTTTGGCATACTGGCAGAAGCTCATAGTGCACCAACCAAGTCCACCAGATATAGAGCATGATCTTGCCTGGGTGGAGAGAAAGTTTCGCAGTGTGAGGCACAGAGTCCTGTTTGGAACGCCTGGGTATGTAATACTGAACCCACTTTTCATCGCGGGTAAGTACTATATCAAATATGGATGCATTGTGATGCCGATTAAGCAATGACAAACAGGCAGCAACACGCTGTTGTTTGTTTGCATCCGACAGTGAGTGGGGTTACCCACTTTGCTCAGCTTTTATGCCTTTCCTATGCAATACAAATGGAGTCTGATCGTTTTATCAGATACCTGGAAGTGTACAGCAAGCTGACCACATGTTTGGCTACTGTCATTCTCTATGGCTGCTCTCAGGGCCTCTTTGTCCAGCACTTGTGGCTGACTGCTGCGTGGTGCTTCACCAAGAGACATTTCTCCTGACCTGAACTTCTGGAACCATGGTCTAGCCGTTCGTTAACGGCATTATCCTCAAAGGCCTGGCAAATTCAGCGACTTGCTTTTGCTGCTTACAGGCCCACTTTAAAATCGTACAGCAAACAACTCCGAATGAGTGCCTTTGATGTGTCCGTTTCAATCGGTCGCTGTGCGAGTTATGTTTGAAGTACCAATGCAACGTACTTTTATACTCTCGGTCAGTGTCCAAACTCCCATCCTAAGTCCAAGATTCAGAATAATCGGGATTTTAATCATTCCAGATTTCTGATGACATGTAGATATTTCAATTTCAATATTGGCGCTTTACTGATTGTTTAGATCAGATAGAAAAATGGTATCCCTAGTGAGGGTACCATAGCAGGTGCAATCAAACTGGATATCAGAATTTTTAGAGTTTAGGAGAGGCAGTAGAATGCAGGGATAAAAAATTTTTAGAATTAAGGACTCGCATTGATTGCATCAAGTTGTGTACTGTCAATCCTGCTCACCTCACAACTATTAAAGGATTTCAGACTTTTCGTTGTATAATGGATGTACACTCTGAATGAGCAGCATTCACTCTCTCATTAGATATATTGTCACTTGGTATATTTAATGAGGTTAAATTTGATGAACTTTATCTAGTCTACCTTCTGATTTCATAAATTTTTGGCTTCTACTGCAATGTCAGAACACTGAATGAATATAAAAAATAAAAACAAAATGTACTGTCCTTCAAAGCTAAAATGAATAAAAATTCACTCTTACTTCACGTGGGAATACCAAATAATTCAAATTGCATAGAATTTTCAAGTTTAGCACTTGTCTTGGTAGCTTTCGTGAACTATTATTTCATAATCAACAGCAAAGAAAATATTCTGCAACTGGTAGACTGTTATAGCTCATGTTGGAAACAAGTAGAATGCTTTGGCACATTGATGTTGCTGATACTCATTACTTAGATTCTTACTCTTACTTAAAACTTCTTGCATTTACATATGTTGTAAGGCAAACCAGTTGTAATAGGGAAACAGATTTTAGTAATTTATGTAGAAATTAACTTAAATCATACTATGTAAATTTTCCCTTTTTTTAAATCTGTCATCCTGATCAGTAGAAGATAATGAAAATGAAGAGTGATCATACGAATTTGGCTAATAAATGCTTTTTAAAAACAGTTCTTCATGAGAAAATCCAAAGTACAGTCAAAAGTCGTTAATCCGGACTCGTCGGGACTTCGGCGATTCCGGATTATCGATTTTTCTGGATTATAAATCATCAGTTTAAATCTCGTAAGATGGCATGCATGCAGAAATTTCTAAAAAAAAAAAAATATGAAACCGTAATTTATGAAATAAAGAACAATTATGATCTAAAAAGTATCAAATTTTACAAAAAAAAAAAAAGCTTAATATTTATTTGTTTACTTTATTAAACATTTCTTTCAATGTAAGTTGCTTAAGTTGCTTCGTTTTATGTGATAATACTTTCTCTTTAATTCTATAAACAGACATAATTTCTTGTTCAGTTACAAAGTTCCGCTGTTCAAGTCCCGTTAATTGCTGTGCCGAGAATACCGACTAACTTGTCAATCGAAATTTTTTCGTTTTCACTAACCTCTCTGTCACATTCTTCATGTCTTTATCCATTTTTTGTTTGTTGGACATCGAAACATACTTTCGTTTTGTAGATCCTTTGGAAGTTCCAACATCGGAAATTCTATTTGACATAATCGAAAGTTCAAGTTTACTTTTATAAAATTGCTCTTACGGTCTGCAAAAAATAATAAGCGGGATCCAATTCGAAGATTAAGTAACAACAACGCAATCATTAACATTAACTGAAATAGATAATTAGATAATTTTAGCTTACACCGTCCGTTATACATTAAACGCGCAGGCAAAAATGTATTCTGCACTTGCGCACGCGCATATGCGCAGTAGTCAAGGTCTTATGCGCACGTGTAAAACGTCTGTGCGCATGTGCCAACGCGGCGCATGCGCAGAAAGTTTTTAGCTTTGAGGTCTGGATTATGGGTGTCCGAATTAACGATTTTTGACTGTACCATGCTGTTCTGAGTAGTTAGGACTCCTGATATCTTTTAGTCCAATAGGGCAATGGACTATTAATTTCATTTTGGCATTTGTGTTGAAATGTCGGTTCACTTTTCAAATTTTTGACACCAAATATTAGAGCCCTGTATTATATTTAAAGAAATTAAATAATGAAGAAATCTACACAAATGTATGTATGTTTCTCACATCGTGATAAAAACAATCGTACATAGAGCCATCAAGTTTTGAATAACGTACATTTCCACCCAAATATGGGCATATGAAAGCCCGAATTTTGAATGCGTTTTATCTAGTTCATATTTTGTAAAACATTTTAACTAATGTTTGATTGACAAACTTAATGATTTAAAAGCGAGCAATGGCAACACTATGGGGGGGGACGTTTTTATCTCCAGGGTGCGAGACTGTATCAGAAATTATAAAGATATGTTCATTTTAAAACTGTTTTGTGATATTGCTGTTGAACCGAATTTTATGTTTTAAATGCGAAGAATGTGATATTTAATCAATAAAGGTAACACAAAAAAAGTTAAAAAACTCCTCTTTGGGCATAGGAATTAAAATGAGCACTTTTAAAAAGAGAAAGAGCATTTTATGTAAGAACTGGTTTAAACTTTTTTCTTTCAAAAAGTGCATTTAAATTTAGAATGATTATTTTATATTACTGATGCCATTTTATTTGCATTCCTTTCCTTTAGCTTATCCGAAAACCAGTCCCTGCTTTTGATGCCTCCCTGGACTAATTTATGGTTGATTTCAGCCATTACATTGTCAATGACATTGCATTTCATTATTCTTTATGTGGATATTCTTTCAGTAAGAAAATTTTATATTTTTATTCTTTCTTACTATTCTTATTTATTCTTTACTTTTAAAATTTTCACCATATTATTTATTTTACTTGATTAAAAAAATTTAATTTTCTGGTAGTTTTACTTGAGGCATAATTTTATTCTTAATATAGCTCAGTTTTCTACATGTATCTACAGTTGAAGCTGTATATGACAAATTTATAGTTTTAGTGTCTTTAAAATTAATGTAAAATTTATTTCTTGTGACAAATTATTTAAGTCCTATGATGTTTTTGTTCATGTGAATTCAAATGGTAGAAAGCATTTTATGAATCTTAAATAGATACCAAATAATAGTTTTTTACCGTGAGGTAATTTACTAAAGGAAAGACTATTGTTTTAGGTATGTGATATTTCAAATTAAATCAAAGGTAGAAAGCATAAAATTTGCCTACCTTGTTTTCCGTGGCTTCTTTGCAAGAACCACTGGGCAATCTTCATCTGTATAATTTAATCTTTCGAGAAACATCAGTGTAAGTGATAAGTATGTTTTTTGCAGAAAAACGCATTTTATTGAACAAAACATACATTAATGTAAATGTTTAAATTATCTGAGGTATTAAGAGCATCTAAGTACAATTTCAAGTAATTGAGCCCAAGGCAGCATGCAAGTATACACTCTTTTCGTAATCTTTGGCCATCTGCCACATGCATTCACAGTTGAAATGTGAAATCTCTCTTGTGACGATGTCACACATGAGGTGCCCTGAATTGCAACAAGGTATTCCTTTCCACAAGAAGTATTTTTGCATAGCTTAACTGAATACCATAGTTGTTTCTCTTTTCCTAATAAAGTTCACATTGAAAGCTTATTCAAGAATACTTTCTTATAAAGCTTACTTTAAAAACTGGAAAGAGCTCTTATCAGACTAAAATTTTAATTATTTTTTACATTGATAATGGAATAACAAAAAAAAAAAAAAAAAAAAAGAGTATCTAGATCGCTAAATTTTTACTTGTAATCAAATAAAAGACCTCTGAAGATATTTCTATATTTTTATTAATTATTTTGTCTTTTTGAGATCTTTTATCATGCATTGTTATCATTGTCTTCATGCTTTTGTTATAAACTGGTTCAGTTATATATATATATATATTTGTGCATATACTATATACTTTTACTAAAGAAATATTGATTATATTATCTCCTAATATTAATTTTAGTAGAAGTATCTAAAAAGAGTGAACCCAGAGATACAAAGTTTAATTCCGAAAATTGTTTTAAAGTAACTTGAACGTAAATTGTTTAAAATGTTTTATGGGGTCTTGAATTAAATCATGAATAACAAAATTTCAAACTTTGAAAAAGAAATTAAATTAAAAGCAAGTAATTGTTGCTATTGAGCGGAAATTAGTTGACTTTTCAAGGGGAACAAACCAACACCCGTTCAATGAACAATAATTAATAAATACGAAGGTGTTTCATCTTTTACTTAAATAATAATGGTGATGCCAAACTGGCAAATAAAGTTAGGCCAAATATTTCCGTGAAGTGAAGGTATTTAGAACCAAAGTAGAGTAGCAAAGAACTCATTCTGAATTAAACATTTTCGCTAATACAAATTTTGAGTGAAAGTTATGTAGTAAAATTGATAAAATACTTGAGTAATTGTCCCCTGACACCCTCGTTTTTATGCATGTTAGTTCAAAACTATTTGTACAAATTAAACATTGGTAATCTTAAGTGGAATAATGAAATAGAACTCAAAGTAATTGAAATAAACATTAGAAAATTAAGAAACATAATGCTATCTTTGCAAAAACAAAGCAAATAATAAAAATTAAAATATTTATATAATAAGAAAAAAGTGAATGTACATGAAGATATAAAAGGCCAGAAAAAGCATTAATTAACTTACGTTCTTTCTAGTGGGATGTGGGCAAAGATGTTTTCGGTGTCTTACTCAGAAGGGTTGTGTGTCCGAAATTTCTTATTGGCAGCGGGGGTTTTGAATTATTTCAGGCAGTGAAACTTGTGAGAAGTAATTTATGGGACAAGGGAGGGACGTTTGTTGAGGAGTTCTTATGTGAGTGAAAACGTCTGTTAAAATTTTTTTCAATATACTAACTAGTGAATGGAAATTAATTAATTTCTGGCTAATTGCCATGTCGGAACAAGGAAGAAATTAAGAAAAGGAAAAAAAAGTAATTTTCACTGTCTTTGACAGACTAAAAGATTATGAAATAGGCCCTTTTTCAATATATTATAACTTAAGTAAAGCAAATTAAATGAATATGCAACTAAACTAATTTAGATGTATAAGTGATGAATGAGGCTGAAGAATAAAAACTATTAAAATATTATTAAAGTTTATCTGAGAATATGTATGGTTGGTTATAAAATTTAATAAATGAAATAATTGTTTAAAAAATTATACAGTTAGCAAATATACAGTAGAAGCAAAATGTAAAATCCAAAATTGTTATTGTTTACCTGCCAAAGGGGAATTTGTTTTTCAAGGAGAAATAATTTTCTATCAGCAGTTGCACAATAATTAGGGAATTATCACATTTTGTCACAATCCATTTTTGAATACAAATGTATATTTTATTATACATTTGTATTCAAAAATTACTTATGTTATACACCAACACAAAAATTAAAGATAATTAAGTTAAAAATATGTGTTCAATGAAAGCTAATTTCCCCAATGCAATAATGTTGAATTTTCAGAATAGTGTAGAAAAAAAGTGGGGATTTTTAAAAAAGTAATGTGATAAAATATAAACAAAAAATTATGCAAAAAGATTTTAAACATTGAACTAATGTGAAAATTTTAAAAAAAAAATGTATAACTATGTATAACTAAAAAATGTATAATACAAATTTAGGCCTTAAAAATATTATGTTTTAACTTTCTGTTTGACATCCAAGTAAGTTATTTGTGGAATACTTTAACGTGTTGACGCCGGTGGGCCACGCTTGATTGTACAATGGCTCAGCTTGGCCCATCAATAGGTAACACTTATCAAATTCAATCAAAAAATCAAAATTATCAAAAAATATCAAAAAATACGTAGTACAAAATTCTATTTTAATTATTCAACAATATACATAAACATTTCAACATTATAATCAAATATTCAATACAAAGCAAATGACTTAAAATGTAATGTATAAATTAAATATAATTTAATTTTTATCCACATTTTTAAAGCAAGCTAAACAAAGTGCCGGCTTGCCCTTACAATTATCACAATATGTTGTTACATTATTTGCTCCACGAAATGATAATTCAAGCGTCACCACACAAAAAGAACAGTGAATATTCGTGCCACCATTAGTGTGTTAAGCACAGTGGAACCGATAAAAGTGACTCTTTGGTTTACCAGAAAAAATATTTGTACGAGAACACCAATAAAAATAATATGTGATTAGTTGGCAAGAAACTTTCAGAGTGAAATCTTCTGTTTGACTGCCATTTTGTGTAAAGGCAACTGTTTGTTGTTATAAATCTCTTAATTGGCTATCATGTTTACTTTTTATTTTGGAGTTAAACTGATAAAAGCATAATATTCCCTGACTGAAAGGTCATGGAAAAAGGATAACAATCAAGTCGAAAGTCTTCATCCAGGACTAGCGCCGTCTGAAGCTTTATGAAAATAAATAGCTGCTATGTTAATAATAAAAGTCTAGTAGCCAGAGTTATATACAAGAAAATGTTTTATTAAAATAACTATATTACATACAAATATTTTATACATATGTGTATGTGTGTTTGGAATAGAAATGGAAATAAATCCCATGTGAATCAGTTTCTCCTTCAAGTAATATAATAAGTAAATTGTAATTATTTTCAGATTTTTATATGACTGGTAAGCTAGTCATAGGGCAAAATGAAAAAACGGAAAATAATTAGAAATGGAAATTACACTTAATGGAAAAAAATTAAAATGTTATTTGTTCATCAGGCAATTTTGCATCAGATATGAAATTTCGATCTGCATCCTAATGAGAAACTGCAGTTTAACATGATCCTTCTCCTCCCCCCCCTCCCATTAACTACAGTCTCCATTTTTAATTTCTATTTCCTATTTTGTCTTGTGCCTTCTACACTTGTCAACGATGAAGGATAAAGAAAAAATTCTTGCAATCTATTTACTTTATATGTATGTGCATTTGATACCTATTTTACTGCAACTAATATTTTTTATTCATTTATTTATAGGCAGTTTTCTCTGTGTGCCCATTATCAGTTAAAGAATGGCTGGTTGTCTTGAAAATATCATTTCCTGTTATTATTTTGGATGAAACAATGAAATTCTTCTCGAGGAAATTTGTGGAAGGCCGAAATCCTTTCTCTGAACTGCATTGGATGTTGGCAATGTGGGCTGTTTATATTGCACTCATGATATATTCACCCATTTAAAGTGGCTGTGATAGTGACTAGAATCTGGAAACAGTTGCATCCAAATTTCGTTACTGTAAATGTTTAAGTATGTCTGAAGTTTAAACTGTGTTGGAAGGCAACACTTCTGAATGTCAAGCTACAATTGTCTTATAGCTGCGGGATCTGATATCAATTTGACGTTTCAGATTATTGCACAACAGTGCAGAAAAATTTTATCAGTACCTTGAACTGATGTCTTCTAGACTAACAAAAATTTTATTTATTGTTCTTTTCTAATATATTTATTAGCATATTATGCTTAGTTTTATGGGGAGTAAACTTGCTGGCTCACATAACTGTGTGTAGCATGGCCCATTTTTAATTATTTAGTTTCATAATTTTTGATGACTTTTATTTCTCACTTAGCTAATTTATAATCATTTTATGGTTTAAAATGCAGTTTCACTTTTATATAGCATATATATACACTTTTTTTTTTTTTTTTTCAATATTTTGACTCAGTGGAACACAGGCAATTTTAAAGAACAGGCAATATTCTCTGTAAAACTAGTAACTGATATTTATATTAAAAAAGTAGTATAATCTCGTGATGCTTAAATGCAAACTTTATTTTCTGTGATGAGATAATTATTTTTATTTTGCAAATATTTTTGTAGTATCTTTTTGTTATGCTGCTAATATATGCTGTTGGAATTATACATTCCATTTAAATAAGAACGAAGCTTATTCTTCAGCTTTTGCATTTAATAAACCTCTTAGGTATTTGCTTTCTGTCTTTTGTTATAAATTTTCATTTATTTTAAGCTTTTTTAAATTAATAACTTTTGAATTATTTTTAGAAAAATTTTCCAAATGAATTTAGCATAAAGTTCAGCTGATTAGTGCTTTTTCCTTTATACCAAAGATATATTTTATTTATGCATTTTCAAACAGCCAGAAATTGCTGGTGAATATAAATTTCACATTCAACAACTTTCATTATAACCTGCTATTCAGAATTTAAGTTCGATTTGATGTAGACATTAAAGTTGCAGTCAGATTTATGTAGTACTTTTTAGAAAATAGCATTAAAATTCCACCAAATGCTGGATTATATGGAGAGTTGCTGAATGAAATATATGTTTATTACCTTGATAAAAATAATATTTAAAAAAGGTAATGTTACATTTAAGTGCTGATGTTGCTTATTACATGTGCATTATATTGTGCTGAAAATTGGCTATTGAAGATAGAAAACTTAAGATAGTTATGTAATAGCATTCTTTAAAATTGATGAGTTTGCACATTTAGCATAGATTTTGGCATCTATGCAGTATACTTTCCTTATAATATTGCTGTGTAACTCGATATACTGCTTCCGTAATTAGGTAATTAAGTTTTGAAAATGCAAACTTTTTTTACTTGTTAATAAGTTTGGGCAATCAGTTTTCTTTAATTCTACTTATGGTTGCTTGGTCTTTTTCTTTCTGCTAATTATAATATTTTAATGAACTTGTCATTGTATGGGTAAATGGAAGACTACTTAATAAGTACTTGTTTTGATACTTATTTGCATACAAAATTTTATATGCTGGTATTAGTTGTGATTATTCAAAATACTCTTTTTAGCTCTAAATTCTCTAAAATTCAAATGCATTTTTCATGCTTAAGTGTATAATGGATTAAATAACTTATTAAAATGGCAATACTTTTTAGTTGAGTAAAGATAAAAATCTTGTATATAATTTTTTTCATTAAATTTTATTAAAAATTGTAATAACCGGAGCAGTATCCTCAGGTGTAGAATGCAGTTATACATATGCAAAACATCGATATTTATCTGTAAATATAAATATATGTAGTCAAAATAAAGACTCAGATGATTTTTAGTTTACATTTTCCTGAGTGCATTGTCATCTGAATGTTGGTGTGATTTCAATTTTTCATTATATTTACTGCCATTGTAATTCACACTTCTTGTAGACAAGATATATCAGCCTTTTTTTTCCCTCCGGAGTCTGCCATCTATATTATCTAATGTACAGATGTACGTATGTTCGCTGAGGAAGCTCGAGTTTCCTTTTGAGAAATCAGGTTTTTATAATGAGTATTAATAAATATTTGTTGGCCGACAGTGACTTTTGTGTATTCTTCCTTTTCTGTATTTTCATATTACAAGAACAAAATAAGTTAAGTCCGAGTTTAGTTTTAATATCGTATTTTCTTACTGGATTTTCCTCATTTTTTAACTTTATCGCATAATAATATGTAGTAATATTAACATTACAATATTTAATGAATATTAATTCAGCATGATGTGTTTGGCTCAGTTACCTTGTAAGGCCCCAGGCTCACGTCACATGAACAAATCTTGATGCAGTTCTGAAAAGGTGCATCAGAGGAATAAAAACTGGGTAACAAAAGACTCAGATTTCGAAAGATCAAACATGTCAACAGCATAAAGCTACAATGAGCAGGAAAGTAAATAGAAATAACATAAAATCAAATGTCGATGAAGACATTATTCCACGACCTCGAAGATTTATCCATCGAACTATTCCATCCGAGTCTGAATCAAGTTCTGACGAACATGAAGAATGGTCATTGACTGATAATCCACCGATCTTGGAGAAGTTTTTAGATCGCCCTGGGATAAAAGTGGACCTTAACAAAGTGCGAAATGTAAGGATATCACGATATTGAAAATGAAGAAATTTTTAGAAGTAATTGTTTTCATGGGGCAAATTCAAAAAGGACGAGTACTGGACCACAGATTCTTGCACATTTGATCGATTTCAGAAAATATGGAAGGCTTGGCATTACAACAGTGAGAATATCAACGCTGAACCAGACCAATTGATCAAAGTCAGGTGCATAATTGATTACTTTTTCCTGAAATTTGTGAACATATACAAGCTTAAACAGCAAATATCCTTGTATGAAGGCATTATGCCTTGGAGAGGACAGTTATTTTTCAGAGTTTATAATGTGGGAAAACTCTAAAAATATGGCAATGTTATGCGAGAGCGATACGGGATACATCTAATTTTGCAATTTATTCTGGTCAGGGGTCACAGCTGATACACAGACAGTTGTATCTCCATATACAGATGTCTGGCACCATCTGTATATGGATAATTATTATAATAGTGTTGATAACACTCAAGCCCTTTTGCGAAAAATATTTTCACAAAAGGTCACTTTCAGGAAAAGGACGCCTAAATAAAATCCACCAGGAAAATTGTCGATTGGATGTGAAAAAACGCATTCTAGAAAAAATTGTTGGAACCGGAAAGAAAAAATTTGTGCATAGACAATGTCGAGTATGCATTTCAAAAAGTGCAAAGTGAAACTTGCTTTAATTTTGTGGCGTACCTCTTCATAGAGGTAAATTTTTTGAGCGGTATCGCACTGTAAAACATTATTAGTATTCATTATTTACTTCAGTTATTTGTTTATTGAAAAATTTTGTTAATAATTAATACTGACGAAAATTATAAATTTTCCCTTTTTGTACTTGCAGCTGTATATTCTATATTCATTTACACAAGTGCCTGTCTTTCATAATAACAATGAAGAATACATTATAAGTTGAGAAATTCGTATTCATAAAAAATTCAAAGTAGTTTTGAATTTATAGTAATTTTATATAATGACAAAATTTGCAAGAATTTTTCAAAAAATCGCCCGCTTCCACCATAACGCACCAATGCGAAGCGCCCTACGATGTATTGAATATAAATCAGAAAATATGTACAAAATACAATGTACTTGATTTAAAAAATTCTACATGTAGAAATTACTTTATGGAAACATTCCTTGTCGAGAACTATAGAAGATTTTAGAGGAAAACTAAAGTCAATTCATTACGATTTACAAAAAATACCGTAGTTGTGTTATCAATTATATAAACAAGTTTTTCCTTTTTTAAAACTCTGATATTAGTACAATGTCGTAAAGTAGATGAGCAGTGGTTTAACAAGCATGAATCTGCAATTTAAGTATGCTTGTTAAAGAGCAATAATTGGGAGTTTTTTAGCTGCCTACAATTTCCAGCTATTTTCCAAACTAAATGTAGTGCCACAGAATTTTAAGATTTGAGGATACTATAAGCATAATTTGAAAATGTTGGCAGTCGCAGATTTTTTAATATCAAACTCAATAACAGTTTACTGTATTGATATAAAATGAAGAGAATTAAAAAATGTACAATAAAAAATCAGAATTTTGTTAATCCTATGGTCTTTTAATACGAATGAACAATTTGTGCGCCCAACTCCCTACAGACATAAATATGCTTAGGAATCAGATGTTAAACTGAATTTCTAACTTATCAGCAAAGAGAACATGGGACCAATGGTGTTCAACTCCAGCTCTGATGTTCTTTGCACCAATCCCTCTTTTGTTGAGAAGGCTGTCAAATATGTACCCTTCTGTGCATACTTTGCTGTTTGCTGTGATACAACAGTTTCAGTGCAAGTTTTGAAATTAATTGCTAAGCAGAATTTCTATTACAGCAGGCAGTTACTGTCAGATATCAACATTGTGAAACAACTGTTATTTGTTTATGACCTTGTCCAGGCCTTCTACCAACAGCTGCAAAGTTCTGGAATTGTTTCCATAGTGTAGAAACTATCTGGCCGCCAAACCGTGATAGTGGTTAGTGATGCCGACTGCTGTATCGAAGGGCTCCGCGATCGAATCCCGGAGAAGGCATGGATGTTTGTAAATGTGACATTTGGGACTCTTGCACATCAGAAATTTCATCACTTTTGATTGCAAAATGCTAATTAAATAAGTCTTTCACATATTCTTTGTAAAAATGGATTACATCCAAAGGATGTTTCATGAAATATTACTTTCGTTATAAAGAAAAATCTGGACATGAGTACGAAATCTATGATAGGTAATAAATGCTTATCTTTACTGGTTTTAGAATGACAAATAAGACATTGTTTAATAAATATTTATTTACACATTTTAAGGATATCACATTAAAATCTTCCACTTCTCTTTCTTGCAGTATACTTTGAATTCTCACGAACCTCTCTGGAAAAAAAAAAATGCATCACTATACATATGTGGGTTTTTTTTTTTTTTTCCAGAATATTTACCTTTCCTTTAAAGTTTTTATGGTTTAAATAAATATTTAACATTTTATTTTAATGTTATGCCTACTTCACCAATATCAGACTTAAAATAAACTTTTCATAATAGTTGAATGTGCTTATGACAAGCACGAAGGGCCTGCAATATTTGCTGATTATACCCGAGTGCTCATGAAAAAAAAGCATAAAAAATCCTACATACTATTATATACATTTACTTATTTTTTATTTCTCTACAATAGAAAAGGAGTTGTTTAATTTACTTTGTCTTATTGTAATCTCTTGTGTTACTGTTCTTCAGAGAAGACTCGTCAAACATCAAGAACAAAAGCTTGAAAAACATCATTTGCACCCATGGCTTCGAAAAAAGGTTGAAGTTTTTCTACTCCCTCAAAAGCTATTGAGTATGTTGGGCATGGTTCAGCTTGAAATTCTTTGCATTCACCATTACTTCTTGATTTACCATTTTTGAGAAATATCCAATCTAGCTTTTGTTTCTATTTTTTCTCTTCTAGCAAAAAGTTCAGTGGTAAAAATTCAATCCTGATAATTGTAAGTCCAGTGTTTTCGGCATGTGCTATATGATTATCAATTAAAAGAACTTTGTGTTGTTTTTCCTTCAGTTGCCTCTCCCATTTTACAATTAATTCCATGAAAATGCTTTCCAGGCTTTCTTGCTGTGGTCATAATCAAGAGGAAATTTTTTGCATGCACACCTAGGGTTTTTGGGACTCACTAATAACCAACAGTTTCTTCTCTTCTGAGTGCTAGATACACTAAAGCTGTCAATGGATTTTTGAAGAGTTGGCCTTCGATACACTTTTTACCCTTTCATTTGTAAGTCTGCTGAGAGGTTACATTGTAGAAAATACCTGTTTTATTGGCATCATAAATGTTGTGTATCCTTCTCTGATAACTAATCCATGTTACGATATCTGCCATGTTTGCAGACTTAACTTCATCAAAAATTTTTCAAAAGGTTATTCCATATCTATACTTGAATTGCTGGAGCCATCCATTCGAACATACAAATCCAGAATAGCCAAATTTTTCTGCTTCAACTTTTAAAAAGGGACCACTTACATAAGGTATGTACTACATTCTACCTTGCATCCACTTTACAACAACTTCATAACTGCATCCACTTTAAAACATACACATCTTAGCACATTTCTTCAAGTGATTACAGTCATTCTTATTTTGATTGTGTTAAAATGGTAGAAGATAAATCATTGTGGTATATCATCATTGTGGTACTGTTTGCAGATTTTCCCATAAAATCTTTACCTTTTTTGTCAACTGATAAAATTTTATGTTTTGACATCGGATGATGAAATTTGATGAACAATTTGACTATGAATGCAGCTCAATGAATGACCTCCACGCAAGTCCTCTACCCTGTCACTCTTACACAGAGTAAACTTTATCCAATCAGCAACCTCCATCGTCTCTGTTCATTTCTTCAAGGTCATTGGAGGATATCCTAGCACATGAACTCTGTGAGAAGAAAAGGCCACCATCAGGATTTATGACTCATTGCTAACTTTCGGTCGCCTTCGAGACCGAAGGAATTTTTCCAGGAAAGGATCAGCTGAGCTGAAGAGATGGAGGCCAAAGAAATTGTATGAATCATAAAAGTATTACTGTGCTATAAGTGGGGTTTGCTAATTGAAGAGAGTTATGCTCCCATAGACTTGATATTGTACCAACCAAGTATTTCCAATTTCGTCATTAAGTCAGGGCTCATTATACGCGAGTTGTACTGTAATAGCAAAAAGTAGATTTAATTTGGTTTTTACATGAAAATTTTTAATGATATTGATCTCATGAGGTTTAAGAAAAAAAAGCATAGCTGTGTTTTTGCATAATATTTTCTGATTTGAATGGTTCAAAGAACATCCTTCCAAAAATTTCTCTCTCAACCGAATTCTTAAAAAATATCCTTACTAAAGTTTATGTATAAACTTTTATACATTTACATCAAAAAGTAAGTAATTAAAAAAATTCTGTGAACATACAGAGTTATATTATATGCACTAGATGGGGTACAACAAGACTTGGGAAATTTGCCTTCCTCCTTGCATTTGTGTAATGCTGAAGAGTAACCATATACACTCATGTCCAAAATTATCTTTACATACCCAAAAATGATGATATTCAATGAACTATTGAATCAATGTGTGAAAACCAAGCCTAATTAGCATTATCCAATCAAAAGGTTTGTGATATGCAAATCTAGGCGTACGTCATCCAAGGATGAATCAAGTGCTTTGCGCAAAACTGAATATTTGAGTGAATTTCTGCAACATAGCGTTTGATTTCAGTGTGTAGGGACTCAAAGCGGTTTGTTATGGCTTCGAAGTATCATTTGGAAGAATCTGTAAGTGGCGAATTATCGGACGTTTAGAAGCAGGGCAGTCAATCATGGAAACAGCCACATGTCTGAATATTTCAAGACAGACAGTCTCTAAGCTAAACGAAACGGTTTCAAAATGATGGAAGTGTTGTAAGGAGGCCTGGACAAGGTCGGAAACGAATGACAACTGCTTCCGAAGATCGGTATCTGGCATTAACTGCCCGTCGTAACAGAAAGGCTACTGCTCGCCAGTTAAGTTCAGAGCTTGCAGCTGCCACTGGAACTGTTGCATTACGGCAAACAATATACAGAAGGCTTAATGAAAAAGGCCTTTATGCCAGAAAGCCAAGGGTATGTGTTTTACTGTCTTCACAGAAAAAGAGGGATCGCTTTAATTGGTGTAAAGAACATCAAAACTTGGACTGAACATCAATGGTCCCATGTTCTCTTTACTGATGAGTCTCGGTTTAGTTTTAACTGGTGATTCTAAACGTGTTTACATCTGGAGGGAGTCAGGAACACGAAATGATCCTCGAACATTGTGGAACGTGACCGTTTTCGGTAGTGGAGGTGTGATGGTATGGGATGGAATAATGATCGATGGACGTACGCTCCTACACGTGTTCAGCAGCGGATCTGTGACAGGCCAGATATATCGAGATGAGGTCTTAGATCCTTATGTAAGACTTTTCAGGGGTACATATGGACCTGACTTTTTATTTATGGATGATAATGCCTGTCCACATCGAGCAAACCTCGTTGATGAATTCCTTGAAAGTGAAGACATTAAGCGAATACCTTGGCCACCAAACTCTCCTGGCCTTAACCCGATAGAGAACTTATGGGACTACCTTGGAAGAGCAATTGCACGTACACATCCTCCTCCTAGAGATGTAAATGCTCTGAAGACGGCATTGCTGGAAGAGTAGAGATTAATTCCCCAAACTGTGGTTAACAACGTTATTTCCAACCTTAAAACACGTTGTGATATGTGTGTACAAGTCAGGGGAGATCATATTTTCATATTAAATTCGTAAGACTTAATTCTTTTCTGAATCATTCCTTTTTTCTTAACTCTCTTTGTCACACTTAATTACCATTTTTATTGTTTCATGCTACAATTTTATATCATATGAGGTGATCTTCAATTTTTTCTTTTGCATTTATGTGTCATCATGTTATGTATGATTCCACGAAAATTCATTAAATTATAAGTCATAGTCTCTGAGAAATCCGTGAATTTATGCATGTAAACATAATTTTGGACATGAGTGTATAATCTTGAGTAAAAGCCAGAGCTATGTATCATCATTGTGGTACTAGTCATCATCAATGTGGATGTAGCTGTCATAGACAGGAACATAAGTAAGGGTTCAGCAGAGTGGCAGCATCAAGTCCTGGCCATCATATATTGTCTATCAGTGAAACTCGTACTCAAGTACCTGACAAGGTAATATATTTCCAAAGTTAATCCGAAGACATGACACAGAAGTTATTAATGTCAAGATAATATATGTTATCTCATCTTGCTTTTTTGTCATAAGCAAAGAAAGTACCAATTAAAACCTTTCATTATTCATTTAAATCCAGTGTTTTCCTTGGAACGCAAAAGTCAACTATGTAACAATTCTTAACATTTCTAACAAAGATGATTGATAAACTTCCAATTTTTTAATATCGGTCATAAAAATACTAGGTAGCATTTACACTTACAAACTTCATTCAGTATATATTTTACCAAACAAATTTTATAAAATAATTAAAAATATTTGCTATAAAATTTGGAAACATTATTTACACCTGTGCAGAAAAAAGAAAATTTTCATTCCCTCTGAGGCCCACCAATGGCCGAGCGATAAAGTCGTCGTTGAACACTGGTTAGTTTGATACGAGGTTCGAATTCTGTGAATGGGCTGGCTGCATGGGCACTTTTGTGGTATTCCCTATATGTAATGTGTATTGGAATGGAATGTGATTTAAAATGCCTCAGATGAAGAATTTTGATATGCAAATATGGCTGACCATTCCATTAGCCAATGCTTAGTTTTCTGTCTCTTAAAATAAAATAATTTATGCCCTTTGTCACATAATAATAGTAGCAACTGAATATATAAATAGAAATTATCGCCGAATGCAGCTACAAAGCTATGTTGTAGTGCAAAAATTGCGAAGTCTTCAGTCAAAATCAATTTTTCATGACATCTGTCATTTGTTTTGACATATCTTTCAAATTTGCTTAAGGTAATTCTTACAAATTATAACAATTTTTCTAATTTCATCTGCTTGATTCAAATTTATTGTCTTACTTCAGTTGAATATCAACTGACTGTAAAAAAAAATTTTTTTAATAAAATAATTTTCAAAGATTGGGTTATGTTGTCCAGTTCTTGACGCACAAAAGAAAAATGAAAAGTTGTAGAAAGGTGCAATTATGTTAGCTGCAAAACAATTTAAATGCAACTGAATGATTATATCAAGAATTTTTAAATGCTTCTGTAAATAATCATCAACAAGAATCATATGCTGTTGTTGATTCTTTGAAAAAACAAAACTGTCGACATAAATACAAAGATTATGGAGAAAAGTTTAGACATATTCATCGTAGCAGAAGAGGCATCACAAAAGCAGTAAACATAGCCTTTGGTAATATTTCCTCAAAAATACTGGATAATACATTTGTTAACTTCAACAAGTTATGCTTTCTCTGTATGACCGTGCATACAGGGAAATCAAAGCTTCACAGCCAAGAAATCCTACCTACAAGTTTAAAATGCAGTAACAAAATTATTGAAAAATCCAGAAACTATCTAAACATTCAAAATAAAAATTAGGAACAACATTTTAAATATATTATTTAGTTTAATGTAGTTTTTTGATAATGAGATGTGATCTATATTTATTTTCTTTTGATACTATTATGGGTATATTTGGTATATGTGATTATGGCAAAGCCTTGAGGGTTGTCTGCCTAAGGGAAGGGATGCCTTTACGCCTACAGGACTTTCTAAGGAAAACTGGCTTGTATACATGTTACACATGGGTGAAACCATCAAAACGACCATGCAGGCAGCCCGTTCGCGGGATTAAAACCTCGGATCGAACTACCAGTGTTCAGTGACTTTAGCGCTTGACTGCTGGTTGGCCTGCTACTATTATTTTATGACAAATTAAATTCATCAACTGCTATTATTTATTATTAAGGGACAGAGATAGTATGTCTTAATTGAACTAAAAGGTACTTTGAATAAAACACGTTCCAATTTGAAAATGTATTACAATAGATAAATTAAATAATAAAACAGCTTGGGGTCTTCTTTTATATTTTTACTACAAAGCGACACTCAGAGATATACCATACAGATATATTCCACAACCATTCGAGGATTTTACTTTCATTTTACGTTACTTATTTTCATTATCCTACCTTACAATGTACTACTTACTTTCCTTGTCGTCTCCTCCTTTCTTTCTTTTCCAAAATCCATTCTCTTCTGCTTTTTACTCCTTTTCCATGTGGAACTTTTCGGCTAATTTTTAAAGAAAAAAAAATTAAATTACAAGACCAAAAGAATCTATTTTAATACTTTAAAGTACCAGTATGAATATTAAATATTTCAAAATAAGATTCTATAAGAGGCATGTTTATTAACAATTAAATAAATAAAAATAGCAACAAACTATACTAATTTAAACTACTTGATGAATAATTGCAGTAAAGTAAGCATATTATTATAAATATCTCTACAAAAATTTGCTACATTGGGATATAACTTTATAAGCTAACTGGATAATTCAAAAATTACAGTACTATACACTGAATTGGGTAAAAATATTAATTGTATCATCTTTTCACTAATAAATTTGCTTTTATGCCGTAATAAAAATGTAATCATGCATTTTGCAAAATAAACTGTAATTTTTTTAAACAAATTTTAACAATATTTTACATCTAATATGTAATCTACTGAATATATTGAATACATAACCTATTGCAGCTCGCAAAAATAATAGCAATATATTACATATTCAGCTTTCAAAATCTAAAACTGTTACAGACAATATTAAATTAATTAAATTACATATATTTTTATGCATAGCATTTCTTTATGTTACAAAATTAAGCGTTTATATTAAAGCTTATGTGAGAATTTCTTTATTCTCAATAACATCAAATAAAAAGTGGAAAATAACAAAAAAGAAATAATTTTTATATGCCCTTTTTAATCTCTTAAAATATATAAAAATTTTGTTGTAGTACATCATTACTATGATTTTCCTTCATATTTCAAGGCATGACAGCCTTGGTGTAATGGTATAAGAATGGCTAGGAATCCAAAAGCAAACAGACTTTTCAAAAATTAAGCAAAAGAAAAATTAATATACAAGAAAATTCTGAAAAGATACAGATTTTAACATTGCACCAGAAAGTTTGTTATGGTTTTTTATGCTCTCACTGAACTTACAATTTACCAGTCTGCTCTTAGACTCACTCCTGCTAACATAATATTGTTTTCTTTTTAACTTTATTATTAAACACTGCTTTCTTTGCCTTCATGCCACATAAAATTCAACAGTAAAATCACCAAGTATTGAAACACAGCACATTCTTACAATTCCCGCTTTCTTAGACTTACATCACTTTTTTTTTTTTTTTTTTTTTTTTGTCCTTTTATTATTAACTTTATTTATTAAACAATCCTTTCTTCACATTTATGCCACATAAAATTCAACAGCAAAATTACAAAATATTTTAAAATAGCACATTTTTAGAATTCCCCATTAGCATGTTAAATGTTGCCATATTTGCCATACATTTTTGTTATATTTACTTCATTACTTCTTTAAAAAATAATACACAGTGACAGTGTTATTCCTAGGATTTTTTTGGAAAAGTAAAAATACTCCTTGACTTTTTTAGGAGGAGTGAAATTCATTTATGAGGAGTGAAATACGGAAATAGCATAAACTACATATACAGAGACAAATTTTCTATAAAAAAACACTTTTTTAATGGACCAAATGAAACAGAAAAAAATGAGAATGCTATTTTGGTTTTCGACGATTATAGCATATGTTAAGTATTAGTAGAAACAAGAAATAAGAAAAAAAAATATTAGAAATAAGAAATATTAAACATTACAAATAAAAGAATTTATTTTACATTCTAAATGAAATATTTATTTAATATTATGAATTTTATATCCTTTTCCTCTGATTTTTCCACTATGTTACAGCTGATTTCCTTACAATATCAAAACTCTTTCAAAATTAAAGTTACAAATATTTATTCTTGGTTACATTACAATTTTAATCTCTTTTTCCCCTGATTTCCTTACAATATCCCAGTTTTTTCAAAATTGAAGTCATAAAAAACATTTTTCCTTGGTTACATTACAATTCTAATCTCCTTTTCTTCTGATTTTTTCACAAAGTTACTGCTCTTTCAAAATTAAAATCACAAAAAACATTTCCCCTTCATTATTTGAAATCTGGGCCTTGCTCAGATATTCTCGTTAGAATTTCCAGTTGTTTTTTCCCCCAATCTATTTCTCCTATTTAATTTGATCCTATTTTGAGTAGAAAATCCTCTTTCACAAACAGCCCTTGATAAAGGAATAGTCATAGCTATTTGTGCCAGGGCTGTAAATCCTGGATATAAGGTTCACCATCTAAACTTGATGAGAACAACAAATTGGCAAACTGTTTAAATTTGAATTCTCTGTAGCATGCATAAAAACACTGTACTTTAAGGTGCTCTTGCTTCTTCTGCTGAAACACCCAAAACCGTCAGATAAGTCAAATCTGGCCTATAGGGCTGCTATCACAGGTCGTTTTGTTTCGGAAGAACAACTGTTTGGAACAATTTTTCTACTTTGTCACAACAGCCAATCTCCATAGATTGCTTTGAGGTTAACACAGGGGAAACCAGTTCGTCATTACAAACAAGCTGATTGGTTGAAAACAAACAACTTGCAAACTTGCAATTTTTTTTTTTTTTTTTTTTTTTTTTTTTTTGAAAGGCAGAAAAAAGTCACACGTCTTTCTGTCAATAGTAAACCAGGCAGAAAAATTGTCCGAAACAGTTGGTCGTGTGAAACAAACGCCATGTGATAAAGGGCCTAATAATGTTTAACAACATTATCTAGGGACTCCAATCTTGATGATTCTGTTGTAAAACAAGAGGGATTCAACAAAACATCAAAATCCTGCAAAAGATGCATCTGCTGCAATCTTAAATCTTTCTTGCATATTCTCTATCAAGGCACTCAAAAAAGCATTTTTAGCATTTATGAAATCATTTAAATATTTAGTAGAAACAGATAATTTAATATCTTGAATTCAATAATACCCATTATTAAGAGCAGACTCTAAAAATTCCTTTAGACGAATGCCATGACCTTCCTTCTTTTTCATTTCCTGCATGTGATTAATAGTTGATTCTAAACTATTAACCAATACTGAGAAGTTCACATCAATGCTCTGAAAAATTCTAACTGACTTTGTTCATAATCAGTAACACATCTCTCAAAAATGACAAGGTGGCTGAAAATGAAAGTTGTGAGCATTGTTTAAGTAGTCCTGAGCCCTTGTTCATAGGATTGCTGGTTTTTCTGTTTGCAATTATGTCTATCAGGGTAAGGATCACAGCATCATAACTGATATGACATGCATCAACTGCATTCCCAAGCGACAACCACCGAACAGCATTTATGTCTTAGAGAGTTATGTTTGGCTCATTTAACACATCTTGCATCAATTTCAGCTTTTCAATCCTAATACTGGACATGTGAAAATAAGCATACAATGAACTTAATTTCTCTGGCAGCTTTGAAACAGGGATATTCCATCAACAGCTTGGGAAACAGCTAAAGCTAAACAGTGAGCTATGCAGTGATACTGCAACAAACCAGGTATCATATCCTGAAATTTTTTGCAAAGTCCATTGTTTTTTCCCATCATAACAGCAGCACCATCTGTTGAAAGGCCAACAACTTTTGATAGCAGTACTTTTTTTCATTGAGAAACTTTATCATAATTTCTTTCAATGCATCTGCATTGCATTTACCCGATAGTTTTTAATTTGCCCAAAGACTGTTCTGACTTTCATTGTTTTTCAAATATTTCACATATATAATTAATTTATGGTCAACTGAAATATCTGTTGACTCATCTGTCATTAAAGAAATGTAGGGGCCTGTGAAACATCCTCATCCAAATTTGATTCTAATACTTCCGAAATAGCTTTAATTATGTCTGTAACTGAATTTTGAGGTAAATACAAGCGAGTCTCTTTCACAGTCTCATTTCCACAGGATTCCATAAGCATAATTAAAGGCTTAAATTTCATTAAAGGAAGTTCTTTTCCAATAGTGTAAACAGTCTTGAACACTGCCAAATCGCCATCCTTTGCTGTAGATTTTTCATTTTCGGTGATATTTTCAAGAGTTTTGGCATCTTTCCTGGCATTTAAAGAAAGCCTGTGTTCTGTAGTTTTTTCGTGGTGAGACAGAGTACTTCTTTGGAAACATGATGAACCCATCACACCCATGCATTCTTCATATTGGCAGATTGACATGTTTTACAAAACATTTTATTTTGCTCTTTATTGAAGAGGACCCAAGGAAATTCTTTAAGCCACTTACTTAAAAACTTATCATATTTAGAAGTAGTTTCTTCTGGTTGTTCATCAATTTTTCGTTTCTTAGCTGACGGCTCTGAGCTGGTTGAAACTCGCCTTGACAGGTTTTTTATAAAAAACTCCGTGATGGATTTAGAACTCATATTTAAATATTTAAATTAATTTTTCTCCTGGAATAATTGCTTCAGTCTCAAGGGGACCACCCTATTGAATTAAATAGTTTTAAAAAATTTGTTAGTTAGAAACTAAAAAATATTTTTGATGTGCTTCTCCTAAAAGCTGATGACTTGTAGAAACTTTCATTTCGTTTTGTAGGCTGTATGCAATTTCTTAAATTTAAAATTTTCTCCACATGCGATCTTAATTTCGCTTAAAATATTAATTTTTATATGAAAGGAATTTATCTTATAAGCCCGAATACAAATTAAAATCGTTTTAAGAGCGATATTTAGTTAAAATCAGTAATGAGTTAGGCGATCTCGTGCCATTAAATTAAAACAATAATAATAATTATTATTATACTTCTCTCCTACAGAATATTTCAAGTAAACAAGAGTATTTACAGCAGGGTTTGTACAATCCGAAAAAGTATTTATTTTTGCCCAAAAATCGGTAAAAATCTCAAAATTTACGCAAAATATGAATTTTGAATAGATGTCAGCTAAATATCGATTTTCGCATGGGGTGACTCTTAGACGAATTCATTTCATATAACCAAACCGTTAAGTACCGATTTGCCCACTAGAAGATCACAAGGAGATGTCTTTTTATCACAGCCGACAATTATCGATGCGATTCCAATTTTTGTACCGAAAAACGTGATAAAATTGCTATTTTTTTAACGAAATAGCAATAAAACACCCAGATTTGTGCTGCAAGACTAGTGAAGATCATGATATTTTAAGAAGAAGATTGGAATTAAAATTTTATTTTTGTACTGGTAGTTCTCGATAAAATTTCGAATTTTTTCCTGACTAGCGCAGAATAATGAAAGAATTAAAAATACAAACACTATACGCATAAAAATAATTTAAAGGCATATTAGAAATCATGCTAGAAAAATTTGAAAAAACGTAATTATCTTTAATTAATGCTTTTACTTCGCTTCAATTTTCTGAAAAGAGTGCAAATGATTTTTCCAGCTCGTAATGTGAAATTTCACCGAACTCCCAAACCATGTGTGTCGATAAACAATTCTACGATTCGAATGACCATTCAGTAACATGGAATGCGTGACAAAATCAGTGCTTGTAAATATACAATGAAACTTCAATTTCATTAGTCAGCTTCTTTCTTCTAATCTCTGGCCGTGATCGTTGAGTCAGCACGGCACCGCGTCTATATTCTTTCTTGCGGAGAAGTCGGGCGGAAATGTCTCGGAGGTGTTTTGAGTAGAAAAAAATATTATTTGTTGATTTCGATGGGGCGCTATGCATATTTTAAGCTAAACCTTTGTTAAAATTCAATACATGAAAATATGCCTGGCTAGTTTTTTAAGCGTATTTCCGATTTCAATGCGTGAAATACGCTCTCAGAGGCGTTAAAAATATCTCTGCACGGTGATAACATTTGGTGGCAACCTACTTTTATTTAAAAAGTGATATGGATAAAAAAAGAGGTTCAAGACTAATAGTACCTCTTGTGCTAAAAACTGAATCTCATTCAGTTTATATTCTCTAATAAAAGGCAAACAACATATTATGAATAACACACTGGTATTTTACATTTAATTGTGCAGAAATGATTTTATGATATCAGAAAGAATATATGAATAAAAGCAAACTGTATACCAGTTGTGAATTAATTTAACAATAGCAACTAAGTCTATGCCATTAATTTTGTTACAGATGTTATGCAAAAAAATTTGCAAAACTTCACTCACATGTAAACAAAAATTTGAAACAAACAAAACAAAAATGAACAACAATTGAAATTTCATCTTTTTTTTTTTTTTTTCCATGTTTCTACAACCCAATATGATTTTTAAAAAGCTGAACATTTTACACAAAATATGCACTGTAAATTAACAGTTATATAAAAGAATACTATAAAAATGAGACATAATACTCCTGCACATAAACTATATATTTTTTTTAATTTTAAATTTTAAAACTCATTTTAAAAAATTCATTTGACAACCAGGCTTTTTGTTTTACCAAAGCTCCTTACTACAAACACATCAGTAACTATAAGAATGGATCATAAGCATGGCATACATAAAAAAGACAATTTAAAATTAACATTTTATACCTAGCCTTTGTATATTTTGCATGCTGCTCGGGTTCTTCTTCAACTCCTAAAGCAGCTGGTAACTTCTGTGGACCTCCAGTCATTAGAACAAGGAAATACCTAAAATAATGATATAAAAATATTAGTGATGTTGATTGACAATTAAGTTTCAAACAAATAAAATAGTATTAATATACTTCATTTTCAAACACAAAATTATAACACATTTTTACAAATTTCAACACTTTCAAATGTAATCTTTTATTTCTTGATAAGTTAAATATTTCTAATTATAAATATCACTAACAATGATGCCTTAATTCCAAGACTTAATCTAATCAGTTTTTAGAATTTGACTTTTAACTCAACTTTTATAGAAATTTGATACCAAAATGAATTCCCTATTTTGACTGCTTAAATTAAAGTTTCCAATACACAAAAACTGCAAATTTGAGTATCATTAGTTTCAAATCATTTTTAGCTTCATACAAATCCAAAAATTCTAATGCTATAGCTTCTTCTCTTCATCTCAGTTTTTACTACATATACATTTCCAAATTTTTACTACTATGTGAATAAAAAACTAATCACAATCATCCTTTTATTATCATTATAATTATTATTAGCATCATCACAACACTATGCCTAATATGACTAAGCAAAGAGCAAAACTAAAAATTTAAATATATTTTTAACTATCATATTTAATTCTTATAATTTCAGCTCATAAAAACTGAAATATAGATATATTCAACAATATACATAATACTAATGTACTAATGAGTCAGCAGTCAAATTAACATATGTGATTTACTTTACTTTAATTTTTTTTTTTCTACATGCTCTATCAATAAAAATGACATAAATGCAAAATTTCTTTCATTACACTATTACATAAGATTAGTGAGGGAAGGGAGTTACATTTTAACACAAATTGTAAATTATTGTGAAAATGCAAAGGTTAGATCAAAGCATAAAACATGATACTGCCCACCACTAGTTGTTCTCAGACAATGTACACTGAGGTGACAAAAGTCATGGGATAGCTCTTAATATTGTGTCGCTCGGCGAAGTACAGCAACTTGATGTGGCATGGACTCAATAAGTCAGGGTTGCCACTCAAACAGGAGAATGAAATTCCCTGACTTTTCCAGGTTTTCCAGGTATGTTTCGAGAAAATTCCAGTCTCTCTGCATAATGTACGTTGGCTGTGCTAAGAGATAAATTAATTATGGTATTACTTGTACTGTGTAGCAAATTCACTTAATTATTCAATAAACCCCAGAGGACATTTATTCTTAATTATTCTTGGTGCACTTTGTTTGATAATTTTGTTTACTTTTCCGCTTAAAAAACTTAATAAAATTTAAGATATATATACATTGGATAACAACTGTACGTTTTATTTAATTATTACTCATGATCATCCCCAGTTCAACACGAGGCTAATCCGGTTCTTATAAATCACAACGCAATGCTAAAAGTTAGGTTAGATTTTAGGTAAATTTAATTTGTGTGAGGTGTATTCTTAAAAGGCACCTTAACACTTGACAACACAAATATAATTATAATAGGAGTTGTTTTCTCCACTGAAGATTGAAATTTGAATCTGCACAATGTGGAATAAAATAAGGCTTTTTTAGAAGACATTCTGCAGCTAAACGAAAGAAAGAAATCTATTTAATAATATTTTTTTACTAAATTGAGGTATTTTATATTTATTTCGCAGCATACAAAAGGAAAAAATATGTGCATTAAATTTCGTGATGTCATCATACTGCTAGAATTAATTTCAGGATTATGCCAGAGAAAATTTCCTGAAATTTGGAAATATTATTTACTAATGAAGCAACATTAAATGATATGAATAACATAAAAATAAAGATAATTACTTAAAAATTTAATTAGAATAATCAACGATATTTTAGCGAATATAGTTACATATGGTTATCCTAGATGATTGATTACTATTTTTTTTATTTTACTGCAAAATGACAAGGTATTTATTAAAAAGAAAAGAAAAGAAAAGAAAAGATTTTGCGGTAAAATCCTAGTATACAATACGGCCTTCGCATGATTTTGAAAATTGTCGCCAAGAACAATATGACCCGTTTACTGCTCATCATCATGTCGCTAAATCTCGCTGTACCACACATGGAGATTATTCTGAACAACGAACGTCTATGTAAAAAGAGGAGGGAAAATTTGCCAAGGGATTTGACGACGGAACGGCCAGAATTTCCCTCTCCGCGATGTGTACGGGAATTTGAGAAACACATGTTAAGAAGAAACGTTCTTTGACAAAAAAGAAAACTACGAAAATCCGTTTTTAAATTATTACGAAAAATCCGAGAAGAAACGTTTTTATCAAAGAATGTTTTTTCTTGGATTTTTCGCAATAATTTTAAAAACGGATTTTCGTAGATTCCCCCCCCCTCAAAATAACTAATCCATAAATTAATTTACTTGCGCCAAAAAATATTTTCTTTTCCTTTAGAGTTTAAAGACATTTTAAACGATATTCATTTTATCAACTCTTGATAACGTGACCTTCGAACTTCAACACCGGTTTCGAGCTTTGGCGACAGATATATCGCACATGCACAGCTGTTTCCCCGCTATGATGGAATCAAGCCACATCTGTTGCAGAGAGGTTTTCCTTCTTTACAATACATATTTTTTTAATTCTAACCTTCATGGTACCGTATACTAGGATTAAACCCATTTTGTTTTATACAAGAACAGGTACTTTCTTTAGTTCAGCACTGCACATGCGATTCTCGAGGTTACTGGAAACCAAAAGTTGCGGGAAACTTGCTTTGCCTTTCTAAAAGACAATCAAATTGGAGCTGCGAAAATTGGCTCTATGCCAACTGCCCGAATGACACTCACGTGATACACAATTCGCCAAAAAAGTGATCTCTTCCGACGTCGGTGCAAAACTCGCCTTTTTTGGCGGGATTGTTGTATGAAATTCGCTGACTTTTCCAGATTTTGACTAAAACACTTAAATTCCCACTTTTCCCTAAATTTTTTGGTCAATTTCCGAATTCCCTGACTTTTTCCAGTTTTCCAGGTAGCGTGGCAACCCTGATAAGTTGTCCTAAGTCTCCTGCAGAAATATTGAGCCATGTTGCCTCTATATACGTTCATAACTGAGAAAGTGTTGTTGGTGCAGGATTTTGTGCACGAACTGTCCTTTCGATTATGTGCCATAAATATTTGATGGGATTTATGTCAGGTGATATGGTGGCTAAATCATTCGCTGGAAATGTGCAGAATATTCTTCAAAACCAATCACAAACAGCTGTGACCCAGTGACATGGTACTTTGTCATCCATAAAAATTCCGTCGTTGTTTGGGTAGATGAAGTCCATGAATGGCTGCAAGTGATCTAAGTAGCTGAACATAACCATTTCCAGTCAATGATCTGTTCAGTTGGAGGACCCAGGCTATGCTATGAAAAAACAGCCCACACCATTATGGGGCCACCACCAGTCTGCATATCACTAACAATGGCAACTTAGGTCTATGGCTTTGTGAGGTCTGTGTCACACTTGAACCCTACCATCAGCTCTTACCAACTGAAATCGTGACTCATCTGACCAAGCCACAGTTTTTCAGTCATCTAGAGTCCAACTAATGTGGTCATAAGCCCACGAGAGGTACTGCAGGTAATGTCATTCTGTTAGTAAAGGCATCGACATGGTTTCTGCTGCCACAGCCCATTAAAGCAAAATTTTGCCACACTGTCCTACCAAACACATGCGCCACACGTCCCATGTTGATTTCTATAGTTATTTCATGCAATGTTGATTGTCTGTTAACAAGTCTGACCAGTACGCACATGTCACTGGTCTTGGTCACTAAGTGCAGGCGATAAGCCACTGTGTTGTCCACGATGGGAGGTTATACCTGAAATTAGGTATTCTCGACACATTCTTGACATTGCGAATCTCAGAAAGTTGAATTCCCTAACGATTTCTGAAATGGAATGTTCCATGCATCTAGCTACAAATACCATGTTCAAAATCTGTTAATTTCCATTGTGCAGCCATAATCATGTCAAAAATCTTTTCACGTGAATAACTTGAATACAAATGAAAGCCCTGCCAATGTGCTGCCCATTTAAACACTTTGTTACGTGATACTACTGCCATCTGTATATTTGCATATTGCTATTCTATGACTTTTGTCACCTGTGTATTTTACAATCTAGTCTCCCAAATTTTTAACTCAAAGATTTAGCTACTTTATTTTATAAATTTTAATACATACACACAAAAAATTATTTCTAAATAATCTTTAAGGAACACGCAGACTGAAAATGCTGAAACTGTTAAACAAAGAAAACTGATTATTATATGAATATTGTCTATTTTAAAGTCTTCAGTATTTTAAACCATACTACTTTTTAAAGAAACTGAACAACAGAAATTCACTGCTCATACTTTGTATATTATCTTTGGCATATTTAAAAAAAAAATATGAATCTTTCTTTCTTATCTAATTGTCAGCTATTGTTTTCATTTCTTTTAAATATAATTAAATATGTTATGCATATATGATGAATTTTACCACGAGTAGACTGTAATTTCCACTGTAGTTAAACATTGCAATATGATTTTAAAGTTGCCAAATTCTAATTTAAAAAGATCACACCTTTATTTTACCTACATTTAATTTTTTTTTTTTTTTTTTTTGAGTCATCCAGAAAGTTCTGGGGCTTTTTCAAATCAAAGCATGTTTTGTTTTGATTGTTTTGTTACTTTCAATAAGCAGTGACTTTGATAGAAGCAGATGTTTAAATGTGATCTTTTCTGCTGATGCTGCATAATTCTAGCATGTGTTGTGGCATAATTTTTGCTTCAGTGCAGTGCTAAGAACAGAGAATTTAAAAGCTTATTTTCATTATATTCTTTTATTTTGCTGTCCTATGCTATGAAGTCAGACTAGTGCTAGTAAGACTATTTGTAAAATTGTGCTGTATATGGGCAAAGTGCTGTTCCTAATGACACAATTCAAAGATGTTTGAGGAATTTATGAATGGGAATTTAATCCTCAAAGATATTGTCACTCTGGATGTCCTCTGTAAACAGGAACCTAATAGAAGAAACTGTCATGGAAAATTCATGTTTACACAGAGTTCAGGAACTATCAAACAAACTAAATATTCCATAAAAATAATACATAGTAAAAGTACAGTTTGAAGAACATTTGAAGGAGTTTGGGTTTGTAAACTGCTCATACTTAAATATAGCAGAATATGCTTCTAGAGTTTCAGCATGCAATTCTTTGCTGAAACGAAGTAAAACAACTCCTTTTTTAAATGGATCGTTACAGAGGACAAAAAGCTGCTATTGTACTATAATTTTACAAGAAAAATATCATGAAATGAGCCAAAAAAACTCCTTTAATAACATCAAGATGGAGCTACAACCCAAAAAATTAATGCTTTGTTTATGTAGGAACTACAAAGGAATTGCACACTTTGAACTACTGCCACCAAAGCAGACAATAAATTCCAAAGGCTACTGTTTCTATATGGCAATTTTAAAAGCAGAAATTGAAGCAAAGCACCTTGAAGTGACCTATCACCTAGGTGCTGTCTTTCATCATCACAATACTCAGTCTCACATTTAAATGAATATCAGACAAAAACTTGTTGAGAGTGGATGAGATATTTTATGTCATCCTGCTCCTATATTCATCCTGCTGGATTTTCATCTCTTTTAAGTCTTTCAAAATTCTAGACTGTCAAACAGCACCTAAAAAACTTCTTTATGAATAAACTTAATGAGCTAGCAGCAGGTTCCAGCAGCAGGAATAAGTTGCAAAAAAGGCCTTAGAACAAAATGGTGCTAATATGATTCAATGAAATATTCTCAAGTGTTTTGTACCACTTCATTTATATTTAGCATAAAAAAAAACCCTCCAGAATTTTTCAGATGACCCAACAGATGCGTACCATCCATCTATGTGATTATCTACGAATTATATTAGCAAAAATTAATGAATAACCTAGTTTTTAATGCTAGAACTTAAGGTGATTAAAAAAAAATTTTTAAATACTTTTTTGCTTTTGTGCTGTTTGGATAATCCACAACAAGACCACCACCAAATCCTGCTCTCATAGCTTGATGTGTAACCAGTTCAATCTGAAAATGATTTCCAAAACTGAATGTTAACACAATTACAATTTTTGAGATAATTTGAGCAGCAGCATAAATAGTTTTTTGTACCCTTACCAAAACATTTTCAAGACATTCTCTTCTGAGAACATCACTACAGAGACGGAAGTTTTTTATTTTATCGTTCTCCTTTTTAATTTAAAAATAAATGTTATGTACCACAAAGTGTTACACAGAGCTTCCAAAAGGTAAGTAAAGGAAAACACAACTTTAACCCTTTCAAGGGTATATAAAAGATTTTAAATTTGGGTAAAATTTTGCATGAATTGTAACTTATGAACTCTAAGAACACAAAATTGAAACTTAATAAAAATCTAGAGTGAAATCCTGAATTTTGAGGACTGGTATATATTTTTTATCACTGCCCCTATAAGACGTTTTTTTCCATGTAGCTGTCATTTGTTAATTTTTGCTTCTTTAATCTATTTCAATGTACTTTTGATGTGAGTCTATAGAAATGAGTGCTTGAATATAGTTAAGCAAGTCTGGAGTCAAAAAGTTCTATATTTTCTCTAGAACTGTGATGAACTTTGAAGTAAACCTTTGATGATACTACCAAGTTAAACACAGCTGTGTAAAATATACGTAAAGAGCTTTTGAAAGTGATTTAAATTCAAAAATTTTATCAAAAAATTTATCAAATCATTTGTCATTTTATAAATTTATACTAGTTCACAGTAATATGTTCTGGTTAATGTGGAAGACTTGAAAGTTAATAGTATACTTGACTCTTAATTTAGATAACATTTTAGGCATTTAAAACAACCTGCAAATGTCCCTAAAGCTGTGTCCTTTGTGAAAATTCTACTAAACACCCTTTCAAAATTTCTATTACTTTTTGCTAAATGTTTTCTTGTGCTTAGTTTATACTTCCCCCCCCCAAGTGAAAACTTTTTTTCAAAATTTATTCATTTAATGGAAACAGACAGAAATATAGATACTCTGTAAAAGCAGAATGGTGTAAAGTGAACTTTCAGAAAGCATGGGAAATCCATATTTTTTCCTCAAGTACACGGAACCTTTTTGAAGACAACCACCTATTAGCTCCAGACAATTTTGGTGGAGTGACTACTTACTTACATAACAGATTTATTCAATTAAAAATTCTTGAAGCCTTATTAAAGAAAAATATTGAAATAAGCATGTGATATATCATTTTATTGGTACCATCATAATAATGTAGTTACAATAAGAAGCAAAACACATTATTTATGAAAAAAATATTTTATATTTAAGTTTTTGAAATACATTAACTGATTTATAAAATTTACATTATAATTTTGCAATTTATAATGTAGGTTATAACTAGTTTTCTGATATTTGCCCTATGCACTTGTTTAGTAATTTCAAACACACACTGTTTATTAAAATATTCATTCAATTAAGTCCTGCATATTTCATTACATGAATAATTTTATACTTCATTCAATTAGATCAAATTAATTTAGAACACTTGTTGCTGTTATCATCTATACATTAATCTCTGGACAATAAATTTATTCTAATGCAAAAGCGAATATAATATAAAAGAGCATAAGATGTGGACAGCTATTCCTCTTGCTATATCATATTATATAAAATGTGTATCCTATTGTTTAATTAAAAGCTCAGATATATTTTTAGAAATACAAACACATGGTTCTTTCACATAACACACAAACAAGTATTGAAATCTCTTTTTATATTTTAATTATTATACGTTTTTCAATTACCTTAAAAAATATAATGATAAAATTTAAGAACTAGGCATAAAAAAGGCATCCAAAGCTGAATCACCCAGAGAATACTGCATGAAAATAAACTCACCTGTTCACTATTTTCAGGATAAAACTGAAAAACTGCACGACTTCCTCTACTCTAAAAACACAACACCAACAATTAATATAATTAATTTCCTTTATGCTTATACACAACCAAATACCTGATTTAAATATAAAAAAAGCATTTGTAATGCACATAAAGTATAAAAATTGTGTACACATTGTGAATAAAATAGTTTTTCCTACCATGATATATTAGCAGAATAATTTAAAATCAAGACATATCCTAAATAACCTTCTTATCTTTTTGAATGAAGAAAGAGGACTAGTTAATGATAAACCATTGCTTTAATATTACTAATATTACTATGATCTGCCTTAATCATAGCAGTCAAGATATCGTTTAAAAAACGAATTTTTGTTAAGAGAGACTTTTTTGTTAAGTTTCGCTAACAGAAATAATAATAATAATGATTACAAAACAAAACAAAAAAAAAAAAACCTGCAGCTTTAGATAGTTACAATATAACATACCAAAGTATTTAAACATCATAAAGACTGAAGAATCCATTGTTTTATTTAGGAAATTCTAAATAAAAATACAAGCAGTTGATAAGATAGGACTGAAAAAAATTATTTTCCTGTAATCACAATAGGATTTCATTTCAAAACATTATAAATCTGATTTTGTAAACTAATTTGCTCTATACTACAACTGAAGATTGCCACACACTCTTTGATACAGAACACAAAAGGTGACTTCATTACCAAAGTTGGAGGTATCAGACTCTGGATTTTGTCCTAAATATTTGAACTGTTTGATACACTAGTAAAGAGTTTATGAGAAAGCTAACTCTGTATATGCATTACAGCCTGGCAATTTGAAGATCATATATGAAATTATCAAAATGTTAGCCACAGAATACAGCAAATTATCCTATCCTATACTGCCCATTTAGTAAAAAAATTACATTCACTGCAACAGTAGTAGATTGTAGTGTTTATTTCATTAAAATTATTTAATTAGAAGGTCATCTGTTTTCATGTTTATATTATCAAAATTCAATTAACATCAATCATTAAACATAAGCTTTTCTTTTTGTCTGTGTATGTGTGTGTGTGTAGCTTGTAACAACTTAGCTTCTTTTATACTGTGTCGCAGGGTAACGTACATAAACAAACACAGTGCTAAGTATATAAAATAAGTAGGAAATTTATTTTAAATTTATTTCATTCATTTTCTGCTCTAATTTTTGTAAAAATGAGACACTAATTTCTTTTGCTAGAATGTCAGTGGATCATTATAATAAGTTCTAATTGAACAGTTATTACCATATGCATGAGAAAATATTTATACTTACCAAACAACCATACAATGTAGAAAAGAAAGTATGAAGTCTCTTTGCAGGTTTGTGTGCTTTTTTATCAGCATTACAAAGCCACTGCAGAGCTGAAATACTATTTATAACGTAATCAATTAGATAAGAAATTTCAAATGTATTATAATATATAAATTGCATTTCAGAATGATAAAATATTAAGTCAACAAAAAAATACTGGATTCGTACAACAAAAGAGTACTTCCTCACATTAAGTGGTACAAAAAAAATAATTTTGTCTCATAATGTTTCATATTATGCAGCATTTTTATAAACATTTTCTCAGTTAAAAAAAAAAAAAAAAAAAAAAAAAAAAAAAAGCTTATATTTTAGAAAAATTCTAAATCTTACATAGAATTTTATTTGAAATAAGTATACTATAATTGCATCAGAAAAACAGATGAACTCATGGCTAAATTATCTAGAAAGAATTTTGCTAAGAGTTACAAAGCAATTAATAGTTGCATCTCTGAAACAGTTTATAATATTTCTCACAACAATAACAGAAGTCAAATTGCTATTGTATGCATGCTGATTTAAATATCTCAGCTAAAGTTTAGTTTAAAATATAAAGCTTTTTCATTTTTAAATCTAATTCCCCCATCTAAATCAAATTTTGCTACCCTTTCAAAATTAGGATGGTTCAAAAAGAATCCTCTCACATTCTTTGCTCCAACTCCTACATTACTTCAAATGCACTTTTTCCAGATGTCGGCTTCTCGGCCCAACCACAGCTCAGCAGTTATTTCTAGCAGTACAGTTACCTAGGAGAGTCAATATGAGCTTCACACAGTGTTATCACAGGAAATTAGCATCAGTTTTCTCCAAATTTACCATCCTGCCATCATAAATATAAAAGTACTATATCCTTGTCCTTTCATGTTGTTCAGCAGGTTCTTTCATATGGGACCAGACTATTGCCTTCACGTCTACTTATGTAATCTTTCTCATTAAGCTCCAAAATAAGATATAAATTGCAAAACTGAAAAATCTACACAAAACTCTTATGTTGCTGAGTAGCATATTAGCTCATACAGACTTAATTAACAAGTTTCTATTGTAATTTTTCAAGGACAAACTTAGCATTCAAAGTATTTTGTAAATACACTCTTCAGCATTTTTATCACATACATACTAATTTCATTGTAATTTATCATAGAGATATTACCTAATAGCTCCATCAAATGTTCCTGCACGGAAACACATGCCTTGTCCCATGTCTCCCAACAAAACATCTCCCTCTACTTCCCTTTCTTTTGCAACAGCTAAAAAAGAAGCAAAAAAAAATTAAAAAGGTTAAAAAGCAAAGCAAAGCAAATAGGAAAAATAAACAAGACTTAAGGGAAAAAAAATCCTATACATTTAACAAACACACACCTTATTTCCTGTAGTATTTTTCAACCTAGTGTTTTAGGGAAAATTCTGAAAACTTTAAAAATATTCACATAACAAAGTGTTCAAAGATTTTTCCTCTGAGAGTTAGTTTATTGGTAACTTGTATTCCCTTGATTATTTTTATTCAGTGAATTCATTTTGTATTTGCATTTTTGTGTTAACATTTCACCCGTTTTATTTTTCCTGATTTATTACTTGAAACACACTTTGTGCAGGTTCTTTGTTAAGTTGCCCAGATATGATAGTGTTCTCAGAGTTAAGAAACTTTCCAAATATGTGATTTCACCTTACTTCTATTATTTATGTTCCAGCTCATTGTAGCCTTCTGTATTGCTGATGTGTTTGATCTTTTGAAATCCAGGTCTTTTGTTTTCCCCCTTCTTCATTCCTCTAGGGAACTGCAGTCAAGATTCATTCATATGAGGTGCTCTAGAAGATAACTAAGCCATACACACTGCTCTCAGCTCAATTATCATCAAATATTCTACTGTTAATATTACTATGTATTCTTACTGAAATGTGTCTTTTAAAGAAATAATATTATGAGAGTCACCAGTAATTTATCCATGCCTACATTTGATTTGTTGTGTTCTTACCGCAACCAGGTTCTCTGGAAATTAAATTATTCGTATATTACTTCCCTCTCAATTTTTGGATGATACAATTGGCTAAAAAAGGTGGGAATATACAAGGAAATATGATATTTTTGTTATTATTTATTTCGTTACAAAGTAATCCTGTGATGACAAAAAAAATCTATTGGGGGGGTTAGTATTTTAAACTTAGTTGGCAATTAAATTTTTAGTTTCTACAGTGCTACTTTGAATTCGGATTCATAATAGCCTAATGGATTGACACAAGCCACATGATACCTCTGAGGTGCTTTATTGCAGGCCAAAGCAATATTTACAAAATTTATTTTTAGTAAAGGTTACTGGGAATAGACATTCTGAGATATGTAAATTTGCATATTTTTTCCTCAGTATAATAATCAGATCAATATAACAGATAGACTGTCAAAGAGATAAAGATACACTTAGCCAAGAATCAAGAATGGGCAAAATATTCATATCAGCTTTCAAGGTTTCGAGTCTTAGTGAAATACTTATGGCTGACAGTGAAGAACTAAGATATTAAAAAACACAAGTAATGATGAGGAGGTCTCAAGAGCATAATCTGCAATAGAATCAATTTATTTTCTAATGAACCTTCAAAAAATTGAATTTCTGTTTACTACATCAAGATGCATGATATCTGAAAAGAAAAATGGATGATCTGCCAAAGAAAATTTTTTTATATCAATTATGACTTATTTATAGTCATAGGACTTAAATGTAAGACCAATTGACATAATTGATTTTTGCAAAAACAGATAATTGTTTTGTTTGAATAATCAGCTTAATTCCTAAGAGTTACTTTTAAAAAGTATAGTTTTTAAAAGTATTTAAGCAATGTTTTTAGGCAAATTTTTGAATTTTTTTTTTTACTGGGTTATTTGAATATGACAGAGCATCCTCTGGACAAAGGACAGTGATACTTTTGTGGAGGGCTTTCTAAGAGACATTGGCTCGTATTAATGTTACATATGAAGATAAACATAGAAATCAAACATACAGCTAACCTGTTTGCATGGGATCGAACATGGGTCCAAGTCACAGTATCCAGATGTCTTATCCATTTGGCCACGTGTGGGGCTTTATACCTATTGTTACTAACTATAGCTCCTCAATATCATCTTACTACCTCTCAGAGAATGCTCTTCTACTCAGGTAATTATTCTTTAAAAAAAGACCACTTTTATTTAACCAGAAAGCCTATATGGTCTTTATTTTATAAGGAATGGAACATGAGATAGAATACCCCATTTCAATGTTTATTTCATGCTAATGGACTGCAAATCAAAAGAAAAAGGGAAAAAAAAAAATAGTTTCACATACAGCATAGAGGCTAAATAAAATGATAAACTTTATTATGTTTTAAATAAAATGAATAACGATGATTATCTTGCTCCATATGCTTAAACTCTGTCATACTTCCAATAACAACAATATTCTTTCAAGAAACACATGAAAATTACACAGATGCAAGTTACACAGAATGAGATGCTCTATATACAAAAAATGCATTTAGAAAAAAAAGATAAACCATAATTTTCTCTCTTTTGGAAATACTACTTTCCATTGCAAGAAACAATCTGTTTGCAAGATTTTAAATGGTCATATTAAAGGTGCGACACTACAGTGACTGAAGGGTAATAATATAACTGAAATGCAGCACAAGTGCTTTGGTACAGCATGTACATGTAATAAATTCTGCAGATGCTTGATGATTCTTTATTGCATATGGAGAAATGACAGAGCTACATAAACTGCATGACAGAGGGAAAAAAAAGCTTTCAGACATGGTCTTTATTTCAACACATAATTTTATTTCTTAATAACTAATTCTTAGAACACTTATTCTTGTTTACACATTACTGTTGGTGCAATATGCATTCCACAAATGTATATTCTTTACACCTTTTTAAAGATCGGGAGCAGGAGCAAATGATGCGCCTTAGTAAACAGCGAGCAAAGTACAAAAATGGTACTACACAATAGTAGCAGTGACATTTATAAACAAGAAGTTTTTTATTCAAATGGATAATAGCTATTCATATTGCAAAATTATTCAAGCAAGCAAGAAATGGGTTCATCTGGAAATATGAAGTCCAGAAAATTTTATTTAAGGCAATTTAGAACAGAAAGTGGAGATACACAAATTGAAACAAATGAGATGCTCAACACAAATTAATGAATTACAGGGGGTTTACTCCTAATTTAAGTTATAATTTTGAGTTGCTGATTTTTTTTATCTTACATCTACATTTATACATACATAACATGGCTTGACTTATGTCGACACCAATCCAATGATGACCTTGTTCTTCCAAAGCTTGTCCACTTAATCCTGAACCACATCTAGAAACATAAGAATACTTTATTTTTGCTTCAAATATACAAATTTATATAATAATTAGATGTAATAAAATTTATTAAATCATGAGATAATGTGAATAAAGTATTACACAATTATTAATTGAAATTCAAAGGATTAAATTTAAAAAATAATAATAATTTTTTAAAAAACTGCACTGTTTTGAAGATATTTAACTTGAGAGAAGAGCTTACCTTTTAAATAATGTTTTGATGATTCATCAAAAGATGTAAACAAATACCATTAAATATATTCAGAAAAAATTAGATTGCTATTTTACACCATCCAATATCCAATTCATGTACAATAAAAGCCTGACTAACTGCCATTCAATTGACTAAAGGCTCAACTGGAAAATTTTAAAATGTAAAAAAATTAAGCAAATGAAAGACTTATTAAAGCTATCGCTATCGTAAAGCATGCACCTTATGATTCGGAACAAGCAAAAACTATCACCAAACAGTATGATTTAGCAACAACAAGAGATAAATGTTAATATAATGTAAGATTTTTTAATCTTCATTTTAAGAAAATTCAATTATATCTCAATAAGACAGTTAAGTTTTTAAGAAGGAATAAGTTAAGTTCTAGTCATCAGTTTTTCACTTGCATTTTGAAAAAATGATTAAAATTTGGGACAAGCCCTAAATGGAATTGCATACAGTGGAATATTTACAAAATTATGAGATCTTGATGTTAAGAAAAGTGTGCATTAATGGGCACATTAAGTGATTTTATTTGAAAATAGAACACTGAAAAGCTTTTACTACATACTAGCAATGCCATACATGCTCTATTTTCTGGACATGCTCTTTCTTTAAAGCCTTAACAATTTCCATTTGTCCAAGTTTTAGAAATATGGAAAAGTATCTGGGTTTTTACCATTCTTTTATTTTATAATAAAATTATGTTTATTAAAAATTAAAATTTTCTACTGAAATGAAGGGATTCAGAAGTTGCATATTTGTGCATCCTCCAAACCATACAAGTCTTGAATTCTCTAACCTTCAAATATGGATTAATGGAATTTCCAAACTGGAAATTTTCTGTTGGTTATTAAAAAGTTTAGATGTATCGTTTCTTCTTAATGTATAATTTTACATCAGCAATTATGCATTACTTTATACTTTGGAGGATCAAAAAGTTTCTAAATAATTCTGTTGACAAAAAAGTACTTTACAGAAATCTGAACATATTCTTCACAGAACATCCTTACTTAAATTGGAATATATTCTTCGTGGAACAAAGCACATATCCCACCATTCCTTCCAATAGTAAAATGCGACCTCAAAGTCATTTTGCATAATGCAAGTCTAGAAGCTTTCGTGATTCACTATAGATCTTTGCAATAGCACAAAAATGGCGATCTCTCACTTGCATTTCATTCGAAAAGCAAAGAAACTGGCACGAGTTAAATTTGGTGAATAAAGGAGATGTGGAAGCAAAAAGATGTTGTGACTGGTGGGAAGCTTATAAATGAGTTATGCTTGATGAAAGGATGCATCGTGATCGTGGAGTATCCGATATACATGTTACAGGTAAGACTCACTCGGACTCACTCATATGAGAAAACTTGTGCAGTGTCACTGATTATGCTCCAGTGTTGCACATATAAAAATTCTCTCCATATTTTCAGAAAAGGAGGGTGCTTGTGGAAGATTTTCTAGGTTGCTTCAAAGGGCAACCTGTACAACTTAAAACATTGCATAAAACTCACTGTCAAAATATCTTCAATGCCTCTGAGCACAATTTGCCCATTTTAATGCAGAATTTCACACTGTATGTTTGTTACATTTTTCTGCTCATGATGCAAATACAAACCATGACATGCATGTAATTTAAAAACAATTCCTGATGTTAACATAGTGATATTTTCGGAACATTGCCTTACCTATATTAAAGGTCAGTATTCCTGCTCCCATCTGTAGGCAAACTACAAAACTAATCCACGAAGATACAGCCATGTAATTACAGTTCATCAGTAGCAGTAAATTTTTATTCATTATATGATTTTCCACCAGGAACTTTCTTTTTTTCCTCCCCCCCACAATCCACAGCAATTACACAAATATGGATAATGAGGTAAAAAACAGTTTGGGGAACACAGTACAGCCCTATAATACGCTGTTGCTCCTGTATCTTTTATCGTTTTCATGTTTACAAATTCTCCCTTTTTTTTTTCAAATATTATTTATACATTTATTTATTTAAATTATCATCTGATTTTTGAAAATGTATTTAATTAAAAATGAATGGAGTCTTATGAAGAGTATCAGTTAAGAGATGGTTTAACAAAATTTAATGTATGATACATAATAGATTAAAATGTCTTACAAACAGTCATGAGCCACTGAGTTACTTTTATTTCAAAACTGCAAGTCATATTAAAAAATTAAGGTAAAACTACATATAAATCTAATGAAGATTTAAATTTCCTTGTTTTAAAAATTCATAAGATGACTAAAAAGGTAGGGGACATAATGTATAAGTAGTAATTTTAGTAGCAGTGGTAAAATACAGTGGAAGAATTGCCTCACATCAGCTATTGTTCATATTTAAAAGATTCAAAGAAATAGCTCAAATAAAAAATCTTGATAACTTACACATGAGAAACTTTCATGATTATTATAACCAAACACTGGAATTAATCTCCCCTTTTTTTGCCATATTCTTTAGGTTTTATTGTAGAAGCTTAAGTGTTACAGAAAAAAAATTATTTACATTTTGAAAAAGACAGATATTCATAATGAGTAATGTATACTTTAATGAAATTTCGTGAAAAATTAGAACTATTTTTTGAGATTCTCTTTGACTTCATCACTGCAGATAAAACATCTCTTACAAACTGGTAGAAATTGTATGTTATTTGGAATAACAGTACTGATAAAAACATGATGGATATGATTAGATAATTAGTATTTACAGTAATATTTTTTCAATATTTGCAGAGTGTAATTTTTTTCTGTAACTTTTGTGCTTCAATTAAAACTTCCAGAACCCTTTCAGAATTCATAAAGCAGGGGAATTAATTCCTTCCTCAAACATTTCCACAAAGATCAAGTCACTAAGATTTTAATCATTAACTAAACCTTGTCTGCATATAATTTACAATATGTCAGCTTATTATCATAATAATGCAGAAATCTTTTACAGAACAAATTTTATCGGCACATTTTGTTTGGAATTATATGATAGTATCTTATACAGTCAAAAGTCGTTAATCCGGACTCGTCGGGACTTCGGCGATTCCGGATTATCGATTTTTCCGGATTATAGATCATCAGTTTAAATCTCGTAAGATGGCATGCAGAAATTACAAAATTAAAAATATGAAACCGTAATTTATGAAATAAAGAACAATTATGATCTAAAGGGTATCAAAATTTACAAAAAGAAAAAGCTTAATATTTATTTGTTTACTTTATTAAACATTTCCTTCAATGTAAGTTGCTTCGTTTCATGTGATAATACTTTCTCTTTAATTCTATTAAACAGACATAATTTCTTGTTTAGTTACAAAGTTCCGCTGTTCAATTGCTGTGTTGAGAATACCGACTAATTTGTCAATCGAAATGTTTCGTTTTCAATAACCTCTGGGTCACTTTCTTCACTATCGGAAGCGAATTATAATGACGAGGAACTTGATTTAAATCATATCAAAGACGGAGTATATCGAGATGAAATACTACGCTTGGTACGGAATTATAAACCAAATAAAATAAAAACATCTGCCCTGAAGATAAGGATAGTGCTGACAGATCAACTTCCAATCCGCGGCGTGAAATTGATAAACAGATTTCGGATTTCAAAACATACTTTCGCTTTGTAGATACAAATTACATATTAGTAAATATATATCGGAAATTCTATTTGACATAATCTTTCTAATCTATCAATCTAATAATGACGTTTCTGCCCCCCCCCCTCTGCCGCAGAGCAGCGTGAAATTGATAAACAGATTTCGGATTTCAAAAACATACTTTCGCTTTGTAGTAAATATATATCGGAAATTCTATTTGACATAATCGAAAGTTCAAGCTTACTTTTATAAAATTGCTCTAACAGTGCAAAAAATAATAAGCCGGATCCAATTCGAAGATTAAGGAACAACGCAATCAGCAACATTAACTGAATTAGATAACTTTAGCTTAGCGTATAACTCCGTTACACATTAAACACGCATGCGCACAAACATATTCGCAGCCGTAAGGGTCTTACGCGCTCTCGTAAACGCCTGTGCGCATGCGTGAACGAGACGCATGCGCAGAAAGTTTGTAGCTTTGAGGTCCGAATTATAGATCATTCCGGATTATGGGTGTCCAAATTAACGACTTTTGACTGTACTATGTTATGATACTTTCATAAATTTCAATCAAGTTTTCTCTTATTATTCTTATTTATAAAGTTAAAGTGTTTTAATTCTTAGTGAAGAGAAAACTTTACTTATGAATGAAATTTCTAATGGTGACCATCTGAAAATGACTACCTTTGAAAAATTATCAGTACTTCTAATAACATAATGAAATAATGATATTACATAGCTATATCTTACCAAATAGCTACTTTTACAGAAAATCAAAATTATCTGAAACTCAGCAGTCAAAAAGAAATTTTATAAACAAACAGAATGCTAGATTTTACATAAAAATTTAGAGGAGGAAATTTCAATATTGCTTAGTATTAACTAGCATAAATAGTAACTTTAAATACTAATTTTACCCTATATCCAAAATTAAACAAGATTCATCATCAGGTAATGCAAGAAGCTCTATAGCTCTTTCAGACATCTGAACTTGAATTTCAATCATTCGTGAACTAGATAAAAGAACAACATAATTTAATACTCATAATAACTTAAAATAATATGTATTTTTAGACACATAAATATACATCTTATATATGTATGTATGTGTATATTTATATATGTATGTGTATATTTATTTATATTTATATATGTATGTATAAAACAACATCAACGAATTTATAGAAGCACGCTATCAACTGAATTTACCTATAGATACTTTTTTAAAATGGAAAGATTAAATTCTTCACTGCATGTCCACCGAAATCAATCACCTCAAGTTTAAAAGTACATTGAATTGGTCGCAACTTACATCAGATATTAAAAATAAAAAAAAAAAAAAACTCTTTACTATTACAAAAATAGATAAAACAAATAATAACTTTAGCATTATATGAAAAAAATTCTATGCGGAAATTATTCATAAAGAACTTTTCAACGCAACTACTTATCAATTAGCAAACCTTACGGAAACATCTACAATAAGCAGAATTAAAACTTTTCATAAAAAACTAAATATTACTTTAAATCCAAGCTACAACAGATTTACTAACCTCTATGCACTTCCCAAACTCCATAAAACACCATTAAAATTCAGATTTATAGCAAATGGAACTAATAATTACAAGAAAAATGTAGACTATTATTTTTCAATTCAACTTAAAAAAATCTATAAATTTATTTTCAACGATTGTAACACTAATCATAACTATTGCTGGATCATCCATAATAACACTCCTGTCATTAATGCCACTCAAATAATTAACATACAGAACATTAACTGCTATGAGTTTGAAAACTTATATACCTCACGTCCTTTAGAAGAAATTTATACAGTCAAAAGTCGTTAATCCGGACTCGTCGGGACTTCGGCGATTCCGGATTATCGATTTTTCCGGATTATAGATCATCAGTTTAAATCTCGTAAGATGGCATGCAGAAAAAGAAATTACAAAATTAAAAAATATGAAACCGTAATTTATGAAATAAAGAACAATTATGATCTAAAGGGTATCAAAATTTACAAAAAAAGAAAAGCTTAATATTTATTTGTTTACTTTATTAAACATTTCCTTCAATGTAAGTTGCTTCGTTTCATGTGATAATACTTTTCTCTTTAATTCTATTAAACAGACATAATTTCTTGTTTAGTTACAAAGTTCCGCTTGTTCAATTGCTGTGTTGAGAATACCGACTAATTTGTCAATCGAAAATGTTTTCGTTTTTCAATAAACCTCTGGGTCACTTTCTTCACTATCGGAAGCGAATTATAATGACGAGGAACTTGATTTAAATCATATCAAAGACGGAGTATATCGAGATGAAATACTACGCTTAGTACGGAATTATAAACCAAATAAAATAAAAACATCTGCCCTGAAGATAAGGATAGTGCTGACAGATCAACTTCCAATCCGCGGCGTGAAATTGATAAACAGATTTCGGATTTCAAAAACATACTTTCGCTTGTAGATACACAATTACATATTAGTAAATATGTATCGGAAATTCTATTTGACAATAATTTTCTAATCTATCATAATCTAATAATGACGTTTCTGCCCCCCCCCCTCTGCCGCAGAGCAGCGTGAAATTGATAAACAGATTTCGGATTTCAAAACATACTTTCGCTTTGTAGTAAATATATATCGGAAATTCTATTTGACATAATCGAAAGTTCAAGCTTATTTTATAAAAATTGCTCTAACAGTGCAAAAAAAATAATAGCCGGATCGAATTCGAAGATTAAGGAACAACGCAATCAGCAACATTAACTGAATTAGATAACTTTAGCTTAGCGTATAACTCCGTTACACATTAAACGCGCATGCGCACAAACATATTCGCAGCCGTAAGGGTCTTACGCGCTCTCGTAAACGCCTGTGCGCATGCGTGAACGAGACGCATGCGCAGAAAGTTTGTAGCTTTGAGGTCCGGATTATAGATCATTCCGGATTATGGGTGTCCGAATTAACGACTTTTGACTGTACTAGTCTACTAGATCTGCTTACACTCTTCCTTGATATGCTCACGATTATGAATCTTAACAAATGGAAAACCTACCTAAAATGCACACTTTTCATATCTACATTAAATTTCAAAATCAACTTTTTAAATAAGTCAGAGGTTTTCCAATGGGGTCCCATTCCAGTACCTCGCTCTGTAATATCTTTTTATTTATCAAAGAATTTAACTTCCAAAAAAAAATCTACAGCAAGAATTAAATTACTACAAGCACACTTACAGACATATAGATGATCTTATTACAATTAATAATTTTAATAAGATTGAATACTCCAAGATTTATCCAAATTGCCTTACACTTAATAAAACTAATAATTTACAAAATAATATAGACTATCTCGATCTTCAAATCATTAACTACAAAAAAATTTTACTTTTTAACAAAACAAGAAACTTCAATTTCAATACTAACAAATTAATAAATTGGAATTCCAACATATCCAAAAAAGTAATTAACAATACAATAATAAATCAAATACCACGTATTAAAAATATCTGCACAGATACGATAGATCCACAATGCAAAATTTTGCTTCTTATTAAAATTCTCAAAAACAATCTAATACCTAATCAATTTATTAACCATTGCATTAAAAGAGAGGGTGTTAAATAGTCACTCTAAATCATTTAAATGATAGGGATATGATAATTTGTTCCTAAACCTGAGAAGGCGGTATAAGTTGAATGACTATCAGTTGAAGGATTTGTACATAGTGTAATTACAAAGTTGTATATAATGTAAAAAGCTAATTGTCTTCATACTTATGCTGTTACTAAAAAATTGGGCCTATTTCATAATCTTTAGTCTGTCAAATAGCTCTTTGACAATAAAAATTCCTTTTCTTAATTTCTTCCTTGTTACATGACAATTAGCCAGAAATTAATTAATTTCCATTCACTAGCATATTCAAAATTTTAACAGACGGTTTCACTCACATAAGAACTCTACAACATACGTCTCTCAAGCATTCCTAGTCACTCTCTCTCCCATAAATTACTTCACACAAGTTTCGTCACCTGAAATAATTCAAAGCCCCCGCTGCCGATAAAAAATTTCGGACACACAACCCTTCAGAGTAAGACACGAGGAGAACACTTTGCCCACTTCCCACTAGAAAGAAGGTAAGTTAATTAATGCTTTTCTGGCCTTTTATATCTTCATGTAGATTCCCTTTTCTTATTATATATATTTCAAATTTCAATTTTTATTATTTTTTAATTTGTTTTTGCAAAGACTGCATTATATTTCATAATTTTCTAAAATTCTATTTAGTTCTATTTCATAATGCCAATTTCCAATGTCTAATTTTTTACAAATTGAAGACAAGAAAGAAATGAAATTCAAAACCAATAAAATCCAAAAATTCCCCCAAAAATATGTAAAAAATCAACCATAGTCATCAAAACATTGATTTACAGAGAAGAATACAAAAATAACAAAACATATTTAGAATGGAATTAATATCTGTATTAACAGATATTACTTGCACTCCTTTTCCTAAATATTTTTTGTTACCTTTGTATCAATACTGTCACCACCAGCCTTTGCATGACCTGCTGTACAGGGGGAAAGCAACTGTTCACCTGGAAGACGGTTGTACCTTGACATGACCATCAATGTGATGAATAAGAAATCATGATTCATCCAACCAGGCAAGTGTCTTTCACTTATGCACGGTCCAGTCTCGATGTTCCCGGGCCCAATGTAGGTGTAGTTGACAATTACACTTGGTCAACAGAGGCATATGAATGGGATGTCTACTGCGCAGTCCCATGTTCGACATTGTTCAATGAACTGTGTATTCTGAAACACTAGCACTTGGACCTGCTTTGTATTGGGCTTTCAGCTGAGCAACTGTCTGGTGGCAATTTTCCTGTGCCAAGCAGGACAGTCTCAAACGTCCTTTTTCTTTGATGATGCATGGGCGTCCAACACCTTGGTATCTACTGCTGGTTTTACCGTCGTTTATCCACTTTGTATAAATACTAACTACAGCAGATCATGAACAACCAATCAGTCACATTGTTTGGAGATACTCGTTCAGAGCCTTCAGGCCATTACAATCTGCCCTTTGTCAGATTCGCTTAGATTGGTGGCCTTTCCTATCACTTGCAAAATTAAGTGCAAGAATGATTCCCAAACCTCTTCCAGTAGCAATTAAATACTATTTCCACTTAATCACGTGCCTCCATGTAATCCAGATAAGTTCACTGAAAAATGTGGGGATGGTCATAATATTTTGGCTCATCAATATATATGTGTGAACATATTAAAATTATTTTTGTGAAATTTTGATTAATGCAAAGTATCAATTTTAAATCTTCAGCAGCATTCCCCCTTTCAGTAGCAAAAGCTGCTTCACCTAATCAATAGATAATATAGAAATATCTTGAAATAGCATTTTAATTGGTACTTACCATAATTTCAGGTAGATAAGCTGAGGCTTATACATGTTTAAATTCAAAATTAAGGTCTGCAGTGTATCTGCCAGTGAGGCATATCTGAAGGAATTTTATTTCCCCTCTGTCTTCAAGACTTCACTAGTTTAGTAAGTTATGAACAAGCAAAATGGTTAATGTAGAATTCACCGTAACATTTTAGCCTGATAAAAGTGCTCAGATTGCACTAAGGGAAGTTTAAACTCGCCTAATTACAGTAGATGGTGCTCTGTATAAAAACACTGTGTCAGAGCCTGGCCTGTTTTGGAAAAGAATTTTAGAGAAATGGACAACTGAGCAAAGAGAAAAATGGATTATCAGTATAAACAAAAACAATTGCTCAATAAATGGATATTAAAAATTTTGCTGGAGGACCCAATTGGTCTTTCAGGTTCATGAAGCAAAAGAAATTATCCATCACGGAAAAAAAAAAAAAAAAAAGGTTGGACAAAAGCTTCCCATGTACTGGCTTAAAAAAAAAAGATATCTTCTTTGGAAAACACATCTAAGAAAATCAAAGAACAAAAGTTGAATGAATGATCGCAAATAATTAATATGGATGAAGTGCCCTTTACTTTTCACTTGCTCCGAGCAAAGTTCATTCAACAAGTGAAAAAACTATTATGTTAACAACAGGGAAGTATTATGTGTGTGTGTGTGCAATTATGGCAAAGCCTCGAGGGCTATCTGCCTAATAGGAGGGATGCCTTCGTGGAGGACTTTCTAAGGGAAACTGGCTCGTATACACGTTACACATGGGGAAAACCACGAAAACGCTTATGCAGCCAGCCCATTCGTGGGATTCGAACCTCGGACCGAACTACCAGTGTTCAGCGACTTTACCGCTCGGCCGCTGGTGGGCCTGTTAACAACAGGGAAAGAAAAGACTTCTTTTACTTGTGTTTTGAGTAGCACCGCCAATGGAGAGAAGTTAACCCCTTTGATAATTTTCAAAAGAAAAATAGTTCTGAAAGGAAACTTCTCTAAAGAAGTTATTATTTGTGTCATTGAAAAAGGATGGATTTGTGAATTTGTGAAGAAGTGGTGTTGTTTTGCTCGAGAGAAATTTATCGAAAAAGGAAAAGTGTTTTTTCCCCCAACAGCAAGGCATCATCGTTCTGGATTCAATGCAATCCCATTCAGCCAATACAGTAAAATCCAAAGCAAAAAAAAAAAAAAAAAAAAAACTTTGCACCAATGTGTCAGTGATACCAGGTGGGCTTATGAAAATTTTACAGCCTTTGGATCTCACCATCAATAGAATTTTCAAGCACAAACTATGAAAGCAGTAGGAGAAATGGATGCAAAGTGGACACCATTCCTTCACAAATTAGGACGAACAAGAAAAGTTTTGTATAGGAAGGCTGCCTTATGGGGCGATAAAGCATGGCTATCAGTCTGAGCTGATACAATCATATCAGTTTTCATTAAATAAGAAATCATCGAAAAATACAGGGTGTTTATAAAGTCCCAGACCCATTTTGATGTTTAATAACTTATAAAATAATAAAGATAGATTAAAGTTAATAACATAAATGGTTAGATAGACTCAAAAAGTTTCATGACCCTTATCAATGAACTTCCACGTGTGCCCCCTTTGTCGCACGGCGAAAATCGGTATTCAATTTCACGCTAAGTAACGGCAAGCATGTCAGCATCCACAGAGGCTATTGCAGTCGTAATTCTGGCTTTAAGTTATCAATGTTCGACACTCTCCTCCTGTAAATGTTGTCCTTTACAAATGTCCAATGGAAAAAGTCCAGCGGCGTTATATCAGGTGATCTGGGTGGCCAAGGAATTGGAACTCCTCGCCCAATCCATCTTCCTATAAAATGTTCATTCAAAGAATTACAAACGATGGTATCCCAATAAGGTGGTGCACCATCTTGTTGCAAAAAGACATATGGCTGAAGCTCTTCTAGTTGTGGAAATATGAAGTTTTCCAACATGTCTAAGTATACAACTGATAAGACCGTCTTTTCTGTAAAAAAGGCCCAATGACTCGGTCATGCATTAGTCCACACCACACATTAACCTTTGGGGAATCCCTTTGTGCCTCACGGTATTCATGGGGGTGTTCAGATCCCCATATGCACACATTATGGCAATTAACAATGCCAGAAAGATGCCAAAAACAAAAGCAAGAAAAATGCAATTAATAAGCAGACGATAGTTAGAAAAGTACAGATATTTAGAGTGGAAAATGAAATTATTTGAAATTAACCCCATGCGCAGACGATATTTACAAAAGTAAAGATATTCAAACCTGAAAAGGAAAATATATAAGTTATTCCATCAATAAATGCCATAAGTTTGTTTATATCTTCATTATTTTATGAATTATTAAACATCAAAATGGGTCCGGGACTTTATATACACCCTATAAAATGAAAGTGAAGAGATAGCGATATTGAAAGAAGCAATTTAGAACAGAATGATGAAACTGACTTGATTAATGCTCATTTGTTAAATTTATTTAACTCTAACATTGATGAGGTGGATTTTGAAGGTTTTGTATAAACAAATGTCATTTAATTTCACTATAAAATTTTATTTGATTATCTAATTTACTCGTTTGTTTTCATAATATGGTAATTTATGGTGATAAATGAAGTTTACCAAACCTGTAAAAATAATATTTATTAGAAAACCCCAGAGTTCATTTTCAGCAAGTTCAAGCTAAAGATGTCAGTTCCTTATTTATTTATTTATTACTGATTACATTATAAATGTTATAAAATGTTATTGATGATGATTACATGAATATGGCAAGGAATTACTAAATAAATGAATCAAAATAAGTAACAATATGCATTATTTTGATATGAAATTGTAACACAAACAAATATACATATTATAAAATAATTTATTACAAGATAGTTACATGATATTATTGCAAATAATATATTTTACAATTTTATTCGTGTTTGATCTTTTCACCAAACAAACTTTTGTTTCCATGCCAAACCACTTACATTTACAACTAGTTTCTAATCTTCACTCCATGCAAATACCAGCATATATATCCAAAACATAATGCCAACTGAACTACATTAAACACATGATTACATTAATTACATGAAAATAAACAATGAGACATTGCTTTAAATGTGCCGAGACACTACCCCACACCATGTACAAGAGCGTGATTGGTTCTTCAGCAATAACCACAGTGCGTGATCGGCAGCAAATGTGTTAAAAAGCATTTTCTGTTCCACCTAATTACCAATTGCATGCACTTTTAGGTTCTACTCAAAGGCTCATTTGCAAGAAAGACAGCTAAGGATAGTTGTCCAATGAGAAAAGTATTATACTATTTTTAGCAGTTACTGGATGATGCTGATCTGTTCTCATGCAGGTATTCATACTTAAAAAGAATTTAAACAGTCCCTTTTACCGTTTATTTTAAGATGTTATATTGCGCTTTTTATTTCAATTTTGCTATCATTATTATTATTTTGGTATGAGTGCACTGTTCAAATAAAGAAATATTCTAAAATCATAGGTACAACTTTATAAATGATTATTCCTTATTTTACCTAAAACAGATACCAGAATTGAGAACTTGTTGATAAATTATTTGTGTTAAAGAACTGGTAACATTTTGCTTTTCATGTAATGAATTTTCAACTTATGTCAAAAAATAATTTCAGAAACAAGTTACAGATCAGATAATGGGGAAAAGGAACGAACTGAAGATTATACATCTAAACCCATCACAAAGAATCTTTTTGAAGAGCTCTTTTGCAAATCACTCAATTGAATGTCATTTGATGGAGCTTTGCATGCGAACAGCAATTACATAAGCAGTGTTAGCACATGAAGAAACTATGATACTCAGGAATGGGAGGGATGCAGAAAAAAGAAATAAAATATAACTGACTTACTTAGAGGTATATTTCATGGCTTCTTCTTCAGAATAAAACTAAAACACCATTAAAAAAAAGTATTAAAAACCAAATAAATTCTTGAAAATTATTTCAGTTTAATTTTAATTTTTTTTAATATTCATAATGATTTAACCAATCTCGTGATATATATATACTGAATATGATCACCGAGTCCTAAGCAATAATTATATATCAAATAAAATAATTTCATAATTCCAATTGATTCAAATTTCATTGACAAAATTAAATTTTAAAGAAATATACAGAACAAAGTCTGAGCTCTAGAATCATCGCAACTCTAGATTTCAGAAATTTTCACATTTAAAATTATCAGTTTAAATCTACAAAGATAATATGTAGAAATTATAAAATTAAAAATAAAATAAAATGTCCTAAGTTGCCATGCTAAAATCACATTTAAACCAAAGTAAATACAGAAGCTTTCATAGATAACCTGTCTGCTTTGTCAGCTGTAGCTGGAATCTTTAACGATTAAGTTCATATTCTTTTACTGCTTTCTGCAATCTTTTACTGCTTTCTGTTGCTGCACTTCTCAGAATTAACATTCAGATACACTGTAGATTGAAAGCAAGGTCTCTACTGTAACCAACCTTACAGAAACAAAGATGCAACATAGTCAATACAACAACCTTGCAGACAGCAATAAAAATGTAAGGAAATGATTAAGCCATTTATTATAACTCTAGCTGATGGTGATGTCCCAAAATAACCTTGATGATTTTATTCCTGTAGAATGAAACAGAAGTAGCTTTTGATCAACCTGCTCATATTGGTTTTCATGCCACCAAGACGGTATAGTGGTTAGGGAAGCCTGGCTGCGATACCGAAGGGCCCGGGTTCACATCCCCATACTTGCCAACCTTTGACACTCAAAAATCAGAAGATTTTTTCAAGAAACCAGGAGATTTTTAACAATGTTAAAAAGACTTTTTAAATGATAAAAATATAGTTTTTAATAATGAATTAATTTTAAATAGTAACTAATTCTTAAATGAAAGCAACACAAAAATACCTTACACATAAAAAAACATTTTTATTACTTGCATCGTTTAAGGGGGGGAAGACACTTTAATCAGTTTTCATACAAATGTTATAAACAGTGGAAGATTTTGCTTTTTTTAAGAAAGAAACTTCATAATTTTGCTCATAGCAATTGCCATGTAGGCCTGCTTTCGCTAATAAAAGTTTTTCTAATGTGTTATCACTAATATTAGATTTAAATTTAGTCCTTGTTTTCGCAACAACACTGAAAATCCTCTCACACTCTGCATTACTATGGGGAGCTATCAAGATGGCCGATATAATTCTAGACATATTTTAAAATTCCATCAGCACCTTTCAGTTTTCCAATTAAACTCCACTGGGTGTCAATCCTAGCTGATTTTATTACTTCATCCAAGTTTCCTAATTGTAAACTGCTGTTATGCAGCTGTTGAAACGGTTTCAATTTTTCCTTCCTTTTAGAATTCCTTTCAAGATAATAATAAATATCAACAATGTGTTCGTCCACATTTATTGGTAAAGAAGCTGCCCCTTTTTCAGCTTCTAAATCTAAGAGGTGACAGGTGCACCTCATAATCTGCAAATCTAAATTTTCCTTTCTTAAGATGCCTGCAACACCAGTCTTCAAGCCTACCAATACTGGTGCATTATCGGCACCAAGTGCTAAGCAATTATCAAGAGGGACTGTATTTTCTTTTAAAGTTTTAATCATTAGCTGTGCTATATTAAAGCCTGTCAAATGTCCTTCTAAAGTGAAGACAGAAAATAAACTGCACTCAATTTCTGAAGACTGGATTAAAAAAAGAAACAACAATTGGAAGCAGTATTGAATCGGTATTATTGCTTCCATCCATAGAGAGGCAGAACGGAGCTGTTTTAATGCAATCAATAACTGAAGATTTATTTTTCAAACATATTTCTTTAACAATTGCACATGTTTTGGTTCTTGCACTTGAATATTTCTTAGCAATTTCACTATCGGGAAACATTTTTCTAAATAAAGCTGCAGTGTGATCCAATGCATTCAGTGGAAGGTTGTGCTTGAGTAAAAAGGCAGAGAACAGACATTCTGCATTAATAACTTTTTGGTCCTCTGTTTCCAAAGAAAAATGTAATTTTCCATTTTTTTCAAAACAACTCATGGTCCTTGTGTTTTTCTGTACGCACATGTTTGAGAACATTCGCTCTTCCACCATGCGAAATCAAAAAATCGCAACGACAGGCGGTACACATCACAAATTTATTACATTTCCTTGAGGAAATAATGGAAGGAAGGTCAACTGTGTACAATTTTTGAAATGTACACAAGTATTTCACTTTTCTTGCAGACATAACAAAAGATGATAATTTCTAAAACTAATTCCTGAAGGCACGTGTACTCACACAACTCAGGACAAAATGAATGAAATAACTAAAGAACATCCAAATAACAGCTTGCTCTGTCCTCATTGGCTAATATATGCCAGATGACACGCAGCAGAACAATGGGTATCGAGCTACTGGAGAACGATGATTCTGGATACGTATGTGCTCTCACTCACAAAGGAGAAGTTATCTGATTCGCAAGGTTTTGTTTTAGATATAATCTAGAGAAAATTCAATTGCTTTCAGACGTCCAAAATCTTTTTTTTTTTTTTTTTTTTTTTTTTTTTTTGTTCATATAACAAAGTATTAAGAAATTTTAAATATTAAAAATTGTGAGAAATTTTAAGAATAAGAAAAAGTCGAGAGAAATATATTGTAAATCGGGTTGACGGAAGAGCGTCGAAAATCGGGAGAGTTGGCAACTCTACATCCCAAAGAAGGCAGGAATGTAAAATTGTCGGTCCCTTCATAGGTGGTAATGGTGGCCGCCTATTAGACAAAGAAAATTTAGATGTCTATCAGGCATAGACATTCTTTGTATAAGGTGTCTCCAGAAAACTTCTGGCCTTAGTAGTGGGCAATGCCATTATAGGCAACTGCCAGCCATTTGGGAAAATAAAAGTTTTCATTTTTCACCCCCTTGTATAAACATAAAGGAGGGTGAGTTATAAAATAAAAAAGTATTACGCCACTGAAAACAGTGATTACGCCTCTGCTGTAAATAAGAGAACATAAACTAAACTTTATGTCCTCTTATTTACAGCAGAGGTTGTAAAACTACAGACTGCATTACAAATGAAAGGAGAGGATATTTACTGATCAGGCTCAGTTTCCCAAATGAATCCTATCAACTTCCCAACTGAATAAAATTATTGAATCCTATCTTTTGAAGACTCAAATAGGGGGGTATACTGTTTTGAGAATGCATTTAATTGGTACTAAGCTTCAGAGAAAGCAGATAAGTCATCTATGAAAGCTTGTATTTCCACTTACTGATAAATTTTAAAGGTTGATACTTAGCATGTCAACTTTTATTTTGTTTCTAACTTCATTCTAATTGTACATGCCTTTTACTTTTTTGATATGAAAATCTGAAATGGTTGTTTGTGACATAATGAAGCACCTTTTATCTTAACAATGTCCAGACAAGATTCTTTGTGGTCATAAACAGAATAAGACAAACCTCCACTGCTAGGCATCCAACCACTGCTGCATCACGAAAACTGGTACAAGAATATTGTCTAACCATTTAACTTCATGCCAATGTGGTATAAGAACCAACCAATCACAGAGAAGCAAACACAAATAAATATTCAGTTAATGATTTTGCTGAACCAGCTGTACATTCATGCATGTGCAATTTTAAATTCACCTTCACTAACTGGCTACAGCTTAAATCCTGTTCCACAGGTGTGGATAAAAGTAATGATTTTTACACCTTATAACTACAACAATTGTGACAGCTATATTATTCTCTGAACGTTCCCTTTGGGAATCAAATTTACAAAAAAGCTCAACATTAACATTTATTTTGTTTTATAAAATAAAAAATATTATGCTTCTATTCCTTCAAGATTTAAATTAGTAAACTATAAATTTTTCTTTGCCTCCTCTCACTTTTAATGACAGGCTATAAATCTACCTTAGGAGGTGCTGACTTAGCAAGGTTCAAAGAGCCATAACATGTTTCAGTCAGGGCGATTGATTTAAGTCATTGTCCCAAAAATATTACTTGTAACGAATCACCAAAGCACTGAAAAATAAATCCTTCCTTCTAGAAGTGCCAACAGTAGATTTTCTTACATAAGCATATCTGAATTCTTTTGAAAGATCTTTGCTATCATCCTTAGTGAATCTTCTCACAGTTTCGCTAATGTCCTAGAAGCTTGAATGCAAGTGAAATCTGACAATATGTAAGTGGCATTTTTCTGAAATGTTCAGATGTGAAAAAACATTTTTACTTCATCACAGTAACAGATTAATTGAATAAGCTAGCCACATATGAAATAATGGACCACCATTTGACCATTTCTGATTCAGATACATTCACATCAAACGGTTATATGTCAAGCTGTTTCTGCTGACCAAACTGTATGGCAGTTAGTGACACTGACTGTCATATTGTTGAACCTGATTCGAATCCCAGAGAAGGAATGGATTTTTGCATGTGTATAGGGTCTGTGTGGCAAGGAAGAATTCAAAATACACAGAAAGCCGAAAGGCTTCTCAAGTGGTTTAGTGGTACGTAAAATTCAGAGGCTCATGACCAAACATTAAGATTAGCCACAACAACAAAAAAAATTGCTTCCAATTCCCAGTTTACACTCACAAAGCACAAGAAGTTGAAAATTCTCTCCAGTCATTTTTAACAATTCTTATTCTATAAATAAAATAAGAAGATTTAAGTGAAGAGACACCTGAATCACAAAAACACAATAAAAATCTTCAGAAAAATATGAGCATAATGATACAAAACTGCAGAACAAAAATTGAAATATGGCAGAAATATTTCTGATTGAATTAATCAAAAAAAAATTTTTTTTTTTTTCATAGTGAAAATAAGATACTTTTTTGTCAACAGCATTTTCAAAAAATGCTGCAAAAATATTCAGGAGGCAATGCATTATGTTGCCAAACAGGCTTTATG